CACACACACACACACACACACACATCTCCCACACAACAACGCCTCTCTCTTCTGTGTCTGCAAAGTTCGGAGCCGCCATCGACACAAACGACAAAGACACGACCAGGAAACCGTCCAATGATGGGCTGGTGTCGTCACGACTCTGGGCAAGCTCCTGAAGAGCGTGGGCCAATGGGCTATCGTGCCAATAGGCTCGACATCAAGAAGGCACAGTTCTCACTCTTCTCACCGGTCATTTTTCGACGATTTAGCGGTAAATCACTTGTTTGTTGATCTGCGCTGTTTGTCTGCCCCCCTCCTGGTCCGCCCTTTCCCCCCACTTCATGATTTGTGCTGTGCGTCTTGTCCTTACCTGTGTACCTGTTAGTGTTCCTACCTATCATGACACATCCGCGGACAGACACACACACAGCTCTACAAAAGGGAGAAGGACATGCATGCAATTGTATGTGTTCTTTAATTCATTGCATGGATAGTGTGATCGACGTGTTTTTTGGACACATCCGCATTCTCCGTCGAACGCGCAAATCGGCCCATCCACTGGGGGGGTCGTGCACCGCGCTCAGCTTGCCTGGGCGCCTTACTTGTCTGTAAAAGCTCGCAAAGCCCCAAGCGGAAAGGATGGGAGCGATGGTGCAGGTATGCTGCAGAAGGTCGTTACATCGTTCGACGTGAATGCCCCAGGAAGATCCGCCTGCCTTGACGTCCACTCCTGCAGCAAGAGGAGGCGCCTCATCTCTACCGCCACCTCTATTCATCGTCGGCTTCCTTGCCTGGAGCACGGCCTTGACTGCTGTCCCCACTCGTCGGATTCCTCCCCCTGCAAGGCGACGCGCGGACCTGCTGCTGATGGCCACACAGCACGAGGGGCTGCAAATCGTCACTGCAAGCAGCGCAGAGGCCCTTCGAGGGTGGCTTAAGGAACACCACCAGCAGAAGAGCAGCGTGTGGCTGCGGCTGTTCAAGAAGGCCAGCAGCACCCCATCCGTGACATACGATGAGGCGGTGGATGAGCTTTTGTGCTACGGCTGGATTGACTCGCGAGTGGCCAAGTGGGACAGCGAGAGCTACCTCTGTGTGATCTCTCCTAGGCGGCCCAGGTCCAACTGGTCGGCCATCAACAAGCGGCGGGTCCAGAAGCTCATTGCACAGGGCAAGATGACCCCGGCTGGCCAGGGAGCCATCGATTGCGCCAAGGATAATGGTCAGTGGGATGCACTGAATGGCGCCGACTCCCTGACGCTACCCGACGACCTCGCGGCGGCAATGCAGGAGAACCCCAAAGCACAGGAAGCATGGGACAAGTTCCCAAAGTCATACAAACGGGTATGGATGGTACTGAGGTGCACTGCATCCGTTTCACTTTGTCTGCATGACCCTCTGTCTGGCGTGTGTGCCTGTGGTGCGGTGCATGCGATGCGTATGTGTATAGGGTACGCTTGAGTGGGTGCTGTCGGCCAAGAGGGCGGCTACACGAGAGCGGCGCATCGAGGAGGTGGTTCGGCTGTCGGGCGAGGGCAAGAGGAGGGGGGCTGCAAAGGCTGCACCCTACTGATGAGGGCGCTGTGATACATAAAATAGGCGGGGCGCCCCATGCTGTGTGGACACTCACAGCTTTCTACGGTGCAGCTCTTTTCTCTGCACTGATTTTGTGTCTGTCTGCGCTGCTTTCTGCGAGCCGCACGGTGCCGTGTTTCTGTGTGTGATCCTCTCTCTTCCTGGTTCTCTCTCCTTCTTTCTCATCTGCCCGACGTTATGTGGTCACGTTACTGTGAGAATTGATGGTTGGATGGATGGATGGATGGATGTCGTTGTCTTCTGTGCGCGTCAGGTGGTGAACAATCAGGGCCAGCAGTGGGTTGACTGATCATTTGACTGAACGTGTGTACATGTCTCTGGGTGGTTCTGTACAAGTGTGGTCATGTCCTCACCCTTGTCTGGGTGACAAATATTCGTTGAGTCGCCACGCACGCAGTTCACCCATCCACTCACATACATTACGCTGAGTAAGCCACCCCTTCCTTCATCCATCGCTGACTTGCTCGCACAATATTGGACATCCCATCCTCTGTCCGTCTGTCTGTCTGTCTGTCTTCGAACCACACACAAAGCATAGCTATGTGCAGCATACTCACACACACGCTACTGTCTCAACACAGCGATCGATCAACACACATCCAAGTGCCCATTCTCCACACTACATCCGGCTGGCTCCAAATTTGGCGTCCCACTCCCGCAGCTCCCGCACAGTGTCCTCGGATGTGGTGGCTCTGATCCTCTCCTTTGCCGCCAGCAGGTCCCCCATCCGCAGCGGCCTTAGATCGGCCCCACTCAGTGACGATATCGCCTCCTGATGAGCCCCGTCCAAGCCAGCATCGAGATCAACCGACGTCATGAGGGCGTCACGGACGGGCGCCAATGAGGCCTCCCGGCACAGCTGGGTGATGTCAGAATACGAATAGCCATCGGTCTCAAGTGCCAGCTGAAGCCATGCATCACACACACACACACACACATTCATGGGTGTGTCGGCCTGCCGCCGTGATCACGTGTGGCTGGTGTTTGCTAACTTACGAAGTTGAAGTCGCTATCTGCGAGTGCATGGCCTTCGGGGTGCTCGCGCAAGAGCTTCCTGACCAGCGCCTCCCGCCCCCTGTCGTCAGGCAAGGGAACCATCAGCCGCTTGGGCAGCCGACGCAGCAACGCCTCATCAAGATCCATAGGCCTGTTTGTGGCACCGATAAACTGCACCCTCGCGTCGCTTGGGTCGTTGCCGGCGGTGACGCCATCGAGCTGCACAAGGAACTCTGACTTCATTCTTCTGCTGACGCCCCGGTCTCCCGTGTCGCGTGCCGACAGGAGGCTGTCGAGCTCATCCAGGAAGATGATCGAGGGGGAACGCGCACGCGCCACACGAAACAACGCGCGAACCAGCTTCTCGGACTCGCCATACCTGCACACATGCACACAACAGACGTGACACATAAGGGAAGGGAAGGAGGGAGGGAGGGAGGGAGAGAGGGAGGGAGGGAGGGAGAGGACTGAGCGGTCAGTTAGGTCTCAGTGGCGTACCATTTCGACGTCAGTGAGGCGGCGTCGACAAGAAAGAACGTGGAGTTACACTGTCATGCCACACACATCACGATGATGCGTCCTTCTTCTGCAGGTGTCGCTTCATCTCCGCTCTACCTGTGCTGCCACTGCCTTTGCGGCGAACGTCTTGCCGTTTCCTGGGCAGCCACGGGCAGGGGTCGACAAACACAGTGTGTGGGGCATCTTTCTGTGTGTGCCGTCTGTCTCCCTTGGTTCCCTCCCTCCCTCCCTCCCTCCCCGATCCACCACTTACCTGGCGGTCCGAAAAGAAGGAGACCACGGCTTGGTGTCCGCAGGCCGGTGAACAAGGACGGGTTCAGGGCAGGCAGTACAATCAGCTCCAGCAAGCTGCAGCCAGCATGCACCGCACCGCACGGCTGCGAATGAATGCACAGCTGCGACGCCCCTCCCCAACCAGGACACGCACCTTCGTTTCACATCATCAAGCCCCACAACGTCCCGCCACTTGACCCTCGGCAGCGCCCCGTCAGGCCCGCCATCCTCACGGTCGTCATCCCCGATCTCGCTCAGCTCCTCAGTCGGCCGCCTGTAGTCGAGGATGTACTTCGAGATCTCATTCTCGAGCTCGTCCTCCTGGTCGTCCCGGCTGGGCAGCGCCCCGCCCAGCAGGCGCGACCAGCTGGGGAGGGAGGTGGCAGACTCGTCGGGATGCAGACGCGACTGGCTAGATGCTTGGGCAAGCGCCCCTGAATGATACGCGGGGAGACGATTGAGAAGGGCTTGTTGAATCAATGGGTGTGTGTGTATGCATTCTCCCTCCCTCTCCCTGTCTGCCTCCCCCGCTCACTTTTCTGTGCGGTGGTGGTTGTGGTTGTGGTTTTGGTCTCGCCGCGCACCTCCCTCTTGGTCTCGATCAGCTCCTGCAGCTTCTTCTCCCTCTCCTCCTTGCTAAGCGTTGTCACACCCGCGATGACGGACGGCGACAGGGGTGACAACTCGCCAGCCAGCGGCCCCTGCCCATCCACTCTCTTCGGTGTGTACGTTTGGTAGAAGGGCGATGAGAGATCTGCCCGTCCGTAGGCCTTGGATGCCACGTCGGGAAGATGCAGGCCGGGAGAGGGGCGGATGGTGATCCTGGGCGATGGAGGATTGTTGATGGTCTCGGCCACGTCGCTCACGGAGGCCTCAGGCGTGTCCGCGAGGCCTAGAAGTGAGCGATAAATGGCCATGTTGCTGTCTGGTGGGATCCATAGCCTCGTCTCAACCTGCTGCTGCAGTAGAGGACGAAGGTCGCCGACAAGAGGATCGTAAGGGCGGGCCTCGACGCCGTAAGCTGACAGGTAGGCCTTTGCCTCTTCATCCAGCCGCTCGGGCGCCACGTAGAGCCTCGCTGGTGGGTGGTCGCTGGTGCCGGTGGTGGGGTGGCTGATGACCATGTAGCCATAGAACCCGTGGCGGACGCCCGGCAGCTGCTCGAAGTCGGTTGCCCTCACATTCAAATAGAAGGAAATCTCCTCAGGGTCGGTCAGCAGCATCAGGGAGGCCGACCCGTTCATTATCTGGTGGATCCGCGCAATGTGGTCGGCCGGCGTGGCGCGGATGTACCCGGGAGGGATGCAGTGGATCGGGTCGACAGGGGTCTCCTCAGCGAGGGAGGGTGGCAAAAGATCGTCCTCGACAAACAAGATTTGACAGTTTTCGAAGCCATTAAGAGTCTCAGCCAAGCTACGAGAAGAAAGAAAAGACCCATTGCACTCACTGCTGCTGTGTGGATGTTCGTGACGTACACAAGACAGATGCGTACCTCTGCATCTCGCCGATGGTTGTGGTCAGAGGGTTGATCCCAACTCGCATGCCGTCCTTGCCGTACTTGCCGAGCCACTCCTCCACCGACGGCGGCTTGTCAAACACATCCTTGTCGAACGAGCCGGTGTTCGGCAGGTCTATCTGCAGATTTGTGACGCCCCACTTGTCGGTGTGGATGTACATCTCTGCCCTCCTCCTGTCCATATTCCACAGATGCGCCCTCCCCTCCTCGCGGCCCACGATCGCCAGCGCCATGCCGCTGACACACACACACGTGCACACAGACATGCGCGGCACGTCGGGATGCACACACAGGCCTGACTGCGTGTTCTCTCTGCCCGCTTACGTGTATCCGGTTAGCCTTTTCAATCGCTGATTGAATCGCGTTGGCCGGCGGTTCATCTGCTCGTCGCTGCTCGTCATGAAGTACAGGTCGATATCATTCTCCACCATCTGCCGCCTGCAGTACTCCAGGGCGTCGACTCTGTCCTCCTCTCCCGAAGCGGCGCTCGCCGCGTCAGCCTTCCCCTGCCTCTTTTCCCTCTGCAGCTGCGCCATCCGCCTCTCCGCCACCCGCCTGAAAGGCGAGGGTTTGCTCGGCAAGTCCGCTGTCCAGACGTCGCCCTCATTGAAGGTGAGCTCATCCACAGCATTGCTCTCGTTGTCTTCACTGAGAGATGGGGACGGCCCTCCACTGCCGGCGCTCTCATCGGCCGTGGCCGCTGACGGATCTTCCTTGTTGCTCTGCCCCCTCTTCTTCTGCCTGATCAGACGGGCTGCTGCTGGGCTCAGGGAGCGCATATGACTCAACCCACTGTTGCCTCTGCCTCTGCTGAGCCTCGTGAGCCTTGTCTGCCTTCCTCCTTCATCGCTGCTGAGCGGCGGCGGGCTGACGATGAAGGCCTGGATGGACGTGTAACAGAGGCCACAGATCAGCAGGATCATCGACGAGGTAGATGAATTCATCTCTTTCATCAGTCACATCTGCGAGGGCGGCAGCATCGTTTGCCCACCTCGGAGTGAGCGATCAGCAGCGCATGCGAGCTTAAGAGGTGGGAAGAAACAGGCAATCTCCCCAAGAGTACGCGTCGTGCAGCGCTGGTGTTCTCATCTCTTGTGCGAAAGAAACGCCGCAACGAAAGAAGCGAAGAAGCCCGCCATCTATCGTCCAGCGCCTGCCTTGCCGTTCTCACAGATCATGGAACGCCGGAGGCTATGCAGGGGCTCACCAAGACCTTCATGTGTTGTCTATCTGTGGTCATGCGTCCTCTTCTACTGCCTGTGCCTCTCACGTGCGGCTTACTTCTACGTCTCTGAGGGTGCCGAGAAGTGCTTTCTCGAGAACGTGCCGGCCAATCAGGTCATCACCACCACCTACTCAAACCCGGACAACCCAGGTCAATGACCTGCAGCAGCCAGCAAAGACAAACTCACTCTCACTCACCTCGCCTGCTGTGTGATCCTCTGCGTGTATGTGTGCAGGTGTGTCGTGCAGCATCGTGTTCAAAGATCCGAGGGGCCGCCAAGTGTTCTCGAAGGAGGTGCTGGCTGCTGAGCCCAAGGGCAAGGTGGCGCACCTGACGACGCAGAACGGCGAGTACAAGGTGTGCATCAAGTGCCAGTCCTCCAAGTGGTTCTCGACATCACTGCTCAAGTGGACATTCTCCATAGAGCTCGGCGACTCAGACATCAACCCAGAGGTGCGCATGACATGGCCATCACTGCACCACACAGTTGATTTGATTGTGTGGTTGCGGTTTAGGAGGTAGCCAAGAAGGATCATCTGAACACGATCCAGATGTCGGTCAAGAAGCTGGTGGACCGTGCGGAGGCCGTCTCGGCCGAGAACGACTACGAGAAGCTGCAAGAGGAGGAGTTCGCCTACGCGTCGGAGGTGATCGGCTCGCGCGTCATGTGGTTCTCGGCCGCGCAGGTCATCCTCACCGTCACCTGCACCGTCCTGCAAATCTACCACCTCACCAGATTCTTCCAGACGCAGAAGATCATTTAATTGAGTGCATGCCATGCGGCAGTCAGTCAACCCAGTCAGGCAGTGGATGTGATGTGAGCTGTGCCCTTGATCCGTGTGACGTGATTTCTCTGTGTGCTGACTAGGACATTTAACATGCCTGAATTCATTGATCGTTCGGTAGGCTGTCTATCGGCCACCAACCCCCGAACACACAAGCAGGTCTCAAACATTCACATCATGGCCATTGCAGTGCATTGCATTCAGACCCTCCTGACTGCGAGCTATTTCAAGAGCTCGCACAAACTGTGATTTTCCCGAACTTTGCGTTCCGCGTCGAACAGCTGCAGGGCGTGCTGTGACGAGGCAGAGCGCTTTATGTATAGTTAGCTGACATCTCTGTCCGCCGAGTCCGCATCTCGCTGTGAGGTGGTGAGTGCCTGGCTGGCGCTATCGCGGCTGTCATCGGGCTGTGCAGCTTGTGTGCATCCGTGGTGGCATCGGTTGTCTGGAGATCGGCCCGTGACGGTCTTGTGTGATGGACGATGTGAACGACAACAAGGCCGAGACAGATAGCACCGCCGCCGAGACGCACAGCCAGACCAACACCAACACGACATCGAGCAGCATTCCACACCCCTTCTCCCACACCGGCGGCAGCCCTCCTGCAGGCGCACCGCCAAGGACACTGGCGGCCGCTAACCACCATAGGGCACCTGTGGTGGGCATCGGCGGGCTGAGCGCCTCCAGCCAACACTCGGACAGCGCCAGCCAGAACAGCGGCCATCATCACACTGGCGGCGGCGACCATGGCGGCTCGCGGTCTGGCGAGGCGGGCCAGCGGGGAGGGGCGGGGGATGAGGGGTCGGGCGGAGGCGATGTGGCGACGGCACAAAGGAGTTTAAGGCATTTCTTCGACCAAACTATGCTCTATGAATTTGTGCCCGAAAACACAAGGGTCAGCTACATCACATCACACACAGGGCATCCATCCACTTCATGACGGACGGGGAGAGGGCCAGACAGGCAGACAGGCAGGCAGACGGATGGTCGATAATCGATATTTGGATGGATGGATGGATGTGTGTTCAGATGTTGGTACTGGACACGAGGATCCCCATGCACGTGGCGATCAGGGCACTCCTAGACTACAGTAAGTGCGCAATGAGCATGAGTGCATCCATCGGTCGATGTGGACTCATCGGTCGACTCTTCTGTCCATTCATTACACTTGGCGCAGAGAAGTCCTTTGCCTCTCTCTGGCACGTGGAGGACCGCTCTTTCGTGGGCCTGCTCACCTCATGGGAGCTCATCGACTTCTTCAGAGGCTACTACGCCGCCCTGCAGGCCTGCCAGGCCTCCCTCCCCTCACCCCTGCCCCCGTCATCGCCCTCGCCCGCCCCATCCGACCACCCATCACCCACGGCGGCAGCGGCCACCTCATCGCGGGAGCAGTGGCTCCATGTGGTGCAGCAGGCCGACTCGACGGGCGAGGATGGCGGCGGTGGGGCATCGCCCGTCGGCTCCGACGCGCTGGCGAAAAAGGCCAGCGATTGGGGCGCCATGCTGGCATCCGTGGTGGACGGGCTCTATCGCGATCGGGTCAGGCCGTCCCTGGCCGCCATTCGGCAGCGACTGCAGGACTCCCCCGAGCATTCGGTTTTGGCGGGTCTGGCGTCATCGCAGCTGCGGGCATACTTCGCGTCTGAAGCGGACACATATGAGGTCCACCGAGACGAGGCGGTGACCCTCCGGCATCCACCGGATGACTTTGAGGGCTTCCTGGACGGCGGGTCGCCCCCTCCCTCGTCATCGGACCCCCCCGATGCGTCCTTCCCCCTGACCCCTCCCAACCCCCCCACCGACGCCCCGCTCCCCCCCGCAGACAACGGCCACACGAGCGACCCCCTGACCACCGTCCGTGACGGCAGCTCTCCATCGATTAAGGGCGGCTCGATGCCGCCATCCACCCCCACACCGTCGGACCCGTCATCGCACCCCCCATCACACGCGGCCAGTCCGGGTGGCGGGCCAGGATCGGCATCTGACGGGCCGTGGGGCAGGGCGAGTGCTGGCGGCTCTGGTACGGGTGGTGCGGCTGCCAGTGCTCCGAGTGGAGAGGTGGCGGCGTGGGATGTCAGCATCGAAAAATGGAGGGGTAAGTGAGCCGACTGACTGACTCACTGGATGGGTGGATGGGTGGGGCCAACATGGGTTGGGCTGGGTGAGGTGACTGACTAATTGCCCTTCCTGCCCTCACTGTGCTGTGCTGTGCTGTGTGTGTTGATGTGATCTCATGTGATGTGATGTGTGTGTGTGTGCGTGTAGAGTTGGCTCGCATGCCGCGTTGTTTTCCGGCGGTGACGACTCAGAGGACGCTGCTCGATGCCCTGAGGCTGCTGCTGGACACACAGTGAGTGGAGGAAACAAACAAACACCTACTCGATGAAGGGCGATCCACGGCTGCGTGTGTGTGTTGTGTTGTGTGCAGATCTCCGCATGTGGCCGTGTGGAATGACGATCGGGGGTCGCCCCTGAGCTTTATATCCCTCATACACATACTCACACACCTAGTCCAGAACGTACGTAATACACACCTGCCCTGCAGAGAGAGCTCCCCTGTTTCTGTAACCCTGAGTGATGGCTGTCTGATGGCTGTCTGCGCGCGTGTGTGTGTGTGTGTGTGTTCAGCTGCGGGGTACCTTTGATATTTTTAACATGCCTGTGAGGGCGGCCCTCAAGGTGACTAGCTATGCCCTACAAAACGACCAAGCTGGCGCCTCATTCCTGTGTGTGATTCCTCTGTGTCAGGTTGGCACCTACACGGACATCGTGACGCTGAGACGGTCCACTCCCCTCATCGAGGTACGGCACCGAGGGAGATCGGTGACCCCATCAAGGCACCATTGGACACTTCCTTGTCGGCTTTTCTGGACGGGCAGGTGTTGGGCAAGATGCTGGAGAGGAGGATATCAGTCATGCCGCTCACAGATGATGCCGGTGCGTACTACGTCGAGCGGGCCGCTAATCCTGCCGCTGCTGTCCACACCTCCATCCATCTGTGTGTGTACGTCTGTCTGTCTGTCTGTCTCTGCAGGCGCGTACAAGGGGTGTTTCTCCCGGCAGCACTTCGTGCAGCTTGTCTGGAGGGGATTCTCTGACCCAACAGTACGCACCACAGCACACACACAGACACGCATCAATCATCATCTTCCACTCCATCCACCCACTCATGCATGTGTCTGGTGTTGAATGCAGTTCCAGATCGACATGCAGTCGTCCGTCGATGCTGCCTTGGAGTCCCTCACGACCGCCCCAAGCCCCCCCGCCGCCCCGTCCCCCACGGCCGTCCCACAGGTGTCCCCCGCACCCGCCAGCATACAGGCGGCCGGCGGCACCCTCGCCGCGCCACCCATGCACATGCACAGGCAGCTGTCGGAATCAAATGCACCCGCTGGGCCCGGCGCATCCGGCGGTGAGCTGAGCTGAGCAACAGAAGGGCGAGAGATGGTGCGTTGGATGTGTGTGGACGTGTGTGTTGTGTCGTTGTGTGTAAAGGGAGTGTGGCGGCGACCCCGTCGCCCGCTGGGTCGATGGCCTTTTCGGGGGCGGTGCCAGGAGGGCTCAGCCAACAGTGCGAGGTGGGCATCAATCTAGATGGTCTTTCCTGGAACTTTCCTCATGGATGGATGGATGGATGGCTGCAGGTGTACGAGAGCGACATCCTGCTGCGCGACGCCAGCGCCCACGTTCTCTTCTGTGAACACAGAAGAGTATTCCTATGCGACCCAAACGAGTGGGCAGCCAACCATACAATACACGCGCCGCGCCCTCAAGAGACAAAGACACACAGACATCCATCCCTTGCCACTGCCATGTGTGTCGTGTGTCAGCAACACGCTGCGTGGCGTCATCACGGCCTCCGACATCTGCAAGTTCCTCATTGGATGGAGCGGTGTCGGCGGCAGGACTGCCGCTGACGGCAACGACCCCTCGAGCGCCTCCCCGGACGTGTCGAGATGGGACGCGCAGAGCGACGGCCACGACCCACACCCAAACGACCCGTCTCATGGCGGTGGTGGCGATGAGCGGCCCAACGAGTCGTGGGGGTGACACATGGATGGATGGATGGATGGCCGAGCGGGCGAGGAGGGGTGGGCTTTTTTGCCGGCACAAGAGGCGAGATGATGAAGGATGGAAGGGAAGGAAGGAGGACGGACCATTTTTGGTCGATCGATCGATCGGTGGCTGTTAGTCGGTGAGGTGAGGTGGTTGGTCGTCGTGTGGATAACGGGCGGTGGGTGGGTGGGTGAGTGGATTGTTGGTGGGGTTCTATTCATCCATCGATAGGCGTCGGCATCTGTCCGTCCAGTCCATTGCATTCATTGCGTACGTACGTGTGTGTATGTGTGTTCTGTGCACAGATACTTCCTTACTGACTTCACACACATGCATATGCATATGGAGGCAAACGGGGATTTTAAGGCGTCTGTGACTGACTGGCTCAACGACTGACTGAGCGACCGACCTCACCCTCCCTCCCTCCCTCCCGGATGTTTCTGCCTGTGTCTGTCTGTCTGTCTGCGGTGCGTGTGCCCTCCCTGGCTGGTCTGCCGTCGCTGAGGCCGTACAGTCAGGGACGACAGCGCCCCAGCTGTCGGCGGCTGAGATGCTATCTATCTTCCCATCCTGCTGACCCTTGCTTGTGCTGCCCTCATCCATTCATCCACGCATCCATACATCCCCTCTGTGTGTCGTGTCGTGGCTATTTTCAAGCCGGTGTGTGTGTGTGTGTGTTGTGTGTGTGTGTGTCTGTGTGTGTATGTTGTGTGTCCCTCTCTGGTGCTGTCAACAGACTCCTGAGCATGAAGATGTGTGTGTGTGTATGTGTCATGCCTTACTGGATGAATGGATGGATGGGTGGATGTGTGTGTGCGTGTGTTGCATGCGTGTGTGGACGGCCATGACCGGACTGGCCCCCTCTCGTACAGACAGACAGACTCGCTTCCCTCCCTCACGCGTGCCTTCATTCATCCATCTTATCCTAGTTGTCTCGACGTCTTACTAGAGCTAAAATGACACCCACCTTCCCATCGACAAACAGCCAACAACAAATACGCTCCGACAACCCAGAAACAGCCTCCCCGTCCGTCCACGGAACCCAATCAGAGCTCGTCATGTTCCCTGGCGACTTTCCTGGCAGCCCTGATGACCTCGTCTGGGGGGTGTGCGTCCCTGGCCAGGGTGACCACTCGCGTGTCGCCCCGTACGTCCACCAGTGCGAACATGGGCAGCTCGAGCGTCCGCACCACGTTGCGCACAAACCGCCAGTCTTTCAGCCGCCCGTTGTGGAAGACCATGAAGTACCGCTGCACCGACAACAGCAGGGCCACCGTGTCGCCCGCCTCCAGACGGTTGCTGTAGAACTTAAATGAGTCGTCCCAGGTGCTGTCAAGCCGCGCCGTGCCCGTGTAGCCCGCGAACCAGCTGTCAGCCACGTCGATGGCGAAGTGCGGCACAGACGAGAGAGTGGCGGGGTCGGTGGTGGTCAGGCCGATGGCGAGGCCGCTGCCGAGGTGGTCGCCGACCTCATCCACAGTGAGCTGAAAGTAGAGGCCGACATGGGGGCTGAGGGGGACGGGAGAGGAGGAGATGACGACGCCTCCAGTGCCATTGCTGAGCAGGGAGGCGGTGAGGCAGTCGTTGGACAGCCGCACTTCCTCGTGGTGCTTGGTGCAGTGGAAAGAGAGGGACGCGGCACATACGGACAGATGAAATGAGGCAATTAGTAAAGCGGGCACGAGGGGAAGGTCTCTGCTTCGCATCTTCGAATCTGCGTGACACACAGGGCTCAGTTGGTGGAGTGGTGGTGGTGAACGTTGCAGGGAAGGATGCAGGGTTGAGGTTTCAGGGTACAAACCCTGGTGGGGGCTGCCCCCAGCGCAAGCTTGCGACATCTCAAGTTCAACTTGAAGTTGAAGCCTTTCCTACTGCAGATTTGAGCTGAGTTTCAGCGATGATGGCCCAGCGTGAGTGTCGGAGGGCGTCTGAGCGGCGACAGGGGCAGGAGAGCGTCCTGCGGCAGGGAGAGTCACGGGCCAGGCTGGAGGAGCAGAGGCGACAGGTGGCCCACCAGCTGCAGCTGCAACGGGGTGGCCGGCAGGGGCGGGCCGAGCTGCCTCTTCCCATGGCAACCCGGGAGACGGCAGACTGTGGGCCCAGGTACGTGCCCGATGAGACGGTGGACACCGCTCAGGTCGAACTCCTCAACGGACCAATTGCACTGAGGCTCCCCGTCTCTGTCAACCGCGACACGAAGCTTCAGGACACCGACCGTCTGGCCGTATTGACCCAGCAGCAGATGACGAGGGAGCCGCAGCAGTACGGCAGCCGATACGTGTGCACTGGACAGGACGACGCCTACGGTGGTGTCCAGCACTCGGCCACACCGATACGATGGGCGGCTTCCCCAGTACTCGCAGCACCAGACCAACCACGAAGGTCTCAGCAGGGACGAAGTGGGCGGCCAGCCGGAGAGCCACTACCCCTCTCGTCTGGCCTATCCCGCTCCCAACATCAGCAGCTTTGTCAGGAAGAGACCGGTGGTGTCCCGAGGCATCCAGTGCAGCATCATGACCACACAGACGCCACTCGGGCCCCAAAGGACACGTGGTGTGTCGCGACACCACCACCACCACCAGCAGGTGGAGGCGATGGCCAGTTTGGTGGGCCGCCATCCGCCGCCACCGGACAGCCACGACACGTACAATCGCCAGAGCAACGGATCAGATGGTTTGTTCGGCGGCATGTTCTTGGGCTTGGGATCGTTGCTGAGTGGGGGCCGGGCCTCTGGAGGTGAGGAGGGGTGTGGTGAGATGTGAGACACACATGGCCCTTCTCTGTCACTCTCTTGCACATCGTCGACACGCCTGTCTGTCTGTCTGTCTGTGTCAGCGGTGCGAGAGGAGACACGAGAGCTCCCACTGAATCGCCGCACCAATCGCGGACACATTCATGACGGCCGCTACGCCTATGGCGCCCAGGTGGGTCTCACCGTCACAGCCAGGCACATACTTCGGTCGTCACGCATTTTGTGTCTGTCTGTTCGTTCGTCAGGGTGGGTCGTACGAGTCACGCTATTACCAGCAAGAACCCGTAATCGACAGGCAGCAGGCTATTGAGGCCTACGCGAGGGAGCTGGACAATTGGAAGGGCTTCTGGGAGATGGAGCTGCAGGAGCGCTCGGAGATCCAGGAACGGCTCCGCCGACAACACGAGGAGCGGGCGGCGGAGCGGGAGAAGAGAATGGAGCGCTTCCACCGACAATAGCAGCAGACAATGGAGCGTGAGTGGCGTCAACTGGAGGCCAAGAAGGACGAAATGCGCCGCAAAGAGCAAGAGCTCGAAGAGAAACAGAAGCAGATCGGCCAGCAGCTGCAACAGCTGCAACACCAGATGCAGCAGCTGCAGTACCAGCAGCAGTGTCTCAACAGCGACGACGAGACGGCAGACAACCAGCAGCAGAGGAGCACCTCTGACACCGTCCCCCCGACCCCAACTGGAGCAGTGCAGGAGGCACTCAGAGTGGCTGAAGGAGACGCCACTTGCGAGCGGGAGCGGGCCCGCCAGATGCTGCAGGAGCTCGAGAGCAGCCTCCACTTCAAGAACCTCACTGTGCCATCCGCCCCGTGTGGTGGGCGCCCACACGAGGTGTAGGCTCGCCCCTGTGCACGGCCGCTCGAGAAGAAGTGTGTGTTCATGAGCCAAACCACATGATTGGCCGTCTGGCCGTCTGAGTGCCCTGCCCGTTGTGTTTGTGTGGACGGTTATGGACACATAGAGCGGTCGGACAATTAAATAAGTCTATGCCTTCTGGGAAGCATTGCAAACGGCACTCTCATGCACTGCATGTCGCCCACCCCTCTCTCGGCACACACGCAAGGCAGTGTTGCCATTCAGCATTGATGCGATCACCGGTCGACCCTCGCCGTGAGAACCATTTTGGCGGAGTGAATGAGTGAACTGGTGGGTCTGTGGCTGCTGCGTGACTTGCAAGTGTGTTTGGTGAGCCGTGGAGCGACTGATAGGGTGCTGGGAGACATATACAACTCGAAGAGTGTCGAGGGGATTGCCAGGTGTGCATTGCATTGGGCGGTGGCATAGCTGTTCGGTGGGCCCCGCCACATGCATGTGTGTGTGCATTGAAGCCGTTGACAACCATCATGTGTGTGTTTGTGCCTTGAAGCCATTGGGACTCATAATTCATGTCGACACAGCACAAGTAAGTCCACACCGTGACAGACACGCATGTACGGGCTGATCGATAAAAGCCCATTGTGTGCAGCCAGCCAGAGAGGCTCAAGCTCCCTCACAGACATCCAGCAAAGAAATGGATGGCGGACTTACAAAGACCCCGCTCACGACATTTCCGTTCCCCACACATGAAGAATGTATGTACACGAATGCATGTATATGTACGTATGTGTCTGTGTATTTGATGTGCGCACATCAACGCAAATGTGAACAACAAGACCGCACACACACCACAGTAGTCACTGCCCCCTCATTCGCCGGCCCCACGTGTGTCAATTGGCCCGCCTGAGGTGTGTCTGTCCGTCAGTCAGTGCTGAGAGCGGGACTTATTGATTGAATGCCTCGGCCATCATGGCAAACTGCATCCCCCAGTCGTACATCTTGTCGTTGGCATCAAGCGACGGGCGGAGGTTCTCAGCCCGCAGCGACAGCTCGATGCCCACGACATACACACTCACACGATACCTGCGCACACACACACATGCATTCATCTAACGCAGGCGGCGAGTCTATCTCCTCTGGTCTTCTCACCGCGTCTCGCCTGTCGTGTTGCCTGGTGTGTTTGGTGGCAGGACGGCCGTGATCTTGCCCTCAAAGCCACTATACTCTGGCCGCTTCACGAGCCCAGCCACCCACACAACGGTGCCCACAGTCAAAGGCACAGGCCTGAACACACAACGGCAGGAAGTCCAAAGCAAACGTACACTCGTTCCCCTGCCGGCCGCGAGGCGCTCTCGCCCTCCCTCTTGCAGCCACCTGTCTTGGCCCGTCAGCTGTGCGGATTGCCTTCGCATTGCGGTGATCTCAATGTCGCGCATCCGTATCGACGCCCTCACCGCCTCCGCCTCGGCATCCCTGCACACACACACACACACAGACGTGTAGATACTTAATTGGGTCACCGGCCCCCTCATTTCCCCGCCCACCATTTGAACGCCTCCATGCCGGCTTCCATGCCGAGCGCTGAGGTCAGACGCTTCCACGGCCCCATCAGTCTCTCGCGGATGTACCGCCCCGCAATCTGGCTGAAGGTAATCATCCGCTGCGCCTCCTCCACGGACTCGCACGATATCTGCACGGCATGGCTGAGGGCGGTGAACTCGTAGTAGTTGGCCAGCCACGGCGCCTCGACGCCGTCAGGGGGCTGCATCGCCGTCACGTTGCGGAAGGGACCGCCGTACTCGTCGGCAACAGGCAGGGGCATACCGGAGGCCGAGGGCTTCTGAAGACGCTCGATCAAATCACACCCCTGACAGAGAGAAACCAATAGGCAGACAGCCAGTCAGCAGATTCGCGAGTGATGTGCGTGTCATCGGTCGTGTGTTTGTGTCTTCCCTCACCGTGCTGCAGGCAGGGCATGGGAAGTTGAAGTTTTCTGGTGAGGGCATGGTGTACTGCCTGTCGCGGTAGGCGATTATGTGCGCATTCACTCTCCCCTTTACACACTGCATACATAAGCCTCGATAAGTGAATCAATCAAGATGCCGTCGGCCGCTTGCAGACCTGGAAGCAGAAGAAACACCCGCACCTTAATCTTGCGAGGTCGGTCTTGGCGCCGAGGGGCTCCGAGCAGACGACGCAGCCACCAGAGGGGACGCTCAGGCCCTCGGCGGGGCTCTTGGGCAGCTGATACGTGGGCAGCTCAGACCCTTTGAGCGCCGCCGGGTCAACGCCGTCGCAGAAGGCCACGTTTGACGAGTGAGCCATGGTCAGCGGGAGAAGGCAGGCTGATCTGAGCACAGCAGCACACGCACAGACACCATCATCTTGCATAAGGCGATGGCGAGTCAACTCACCTGTAAGGTGCAGCAAGTGCCTTGAATGGCAGTGCAGCACTGCAATCCGCTACGAACAGAGTCCGCTGTAGGGCGCGGAAGCTTCTCGGGGAGGCGCCGCTTCTGATCGGCATACAAGCTCGCACCGCACGGAGAAAGGGCGAGAAGCACAGCAGGTGGTGGTGGTTTGGCAATGAAGCTCATCTCTCTGTTCGTCGCCTTTATCTTCTCCTGCCTCGCACAAGACGCATGGCCAGGGCTGGCCACGGCTGCTGAAGCCTTCTGCTCCTCCCCGCCATGCCTCTCGCTCGTGAGGCCAGGCAGCCAGCAGATCCGCACAAGACGGCCGCACCATCTGCTGTTCTCAGAGCCCGCTGGGGCGTCCGGCACTGTGGCTGAGAAACCAAAGGCATCAACAGAGCAACAAACGGCCACCAAGGAGGCCACGGATGCGGCGGCAGCAGCTCCAGCTCCAGCAGCAACCGAGGGCTCGGGTGAGGCTGAGGGCGCTGCGGCGAAAGAGCCTGAGATTGACCCGCGCTACAAGGGTTTGACGCCGAAGCAGATAGAGGTCTTGGAGCTCAAGGAGAAGGAGAAGTTCATCACGGAGAGCACGGGGGACTACCAGTGCCGCAACTGCGGATACGTCTACCGGTGGAAACAGGGAGATGGCATCTACCTCAAGGCCAACACTAAGTGGGAGGTGAGGTGGGTGGGGTGGTGGGTCTATACAACTAGCTGCGCCAGACGGGAGGGAGGGAGGTGGCATGGTCAAGTGTGGCTGTATGTGATGTGTGTGGATGCAGGACGTCCCCACGTGGTGGAAGTGCCCCAACTGCAAGGCGCCCAAGAACTACTTCAACCCCATCACCAGGACGATCGCAGGTATATATGCGACCCAACGCAAATGCCACACGAGCGCCTGCGGCAGCAATGCCTTCGTCAACGCGGTGTCATGCTTTTGGTGCGTGTGGTTCATTCTTTCAGGTTTTGCTGACAACCAGGGGTACGGCATTGGCACGAACACGTTGACGGCCGGCCAGAAGAACGTTCTCATCTTTGGCAGCCTCGGCCTCTTCTTCCTGCTCTTCCTTTCCGGCTACCTACTCGAGTGAAGCAAGGGACTCACTCCCTCCCTGCTGCGTCTGTCTTTCTGTCTGGCTGTGTGGCTGTCTGTGTATGCTTGTGGGTGAGTGTGGGAGTGTTTGCCGCCTCTCAAAGAGAAATCACATGGTGGTGCGGCGTTTTCCCTGTCGATCGCCTTTTCCCTCTTGACTCTTCTGTGTCGATCGATGGGTCGATTGCGTTGATTGATGCTGGCTGGTAACGTGATGGCTTTTTCCGTGTGTGTGGTCGCCATGCCATGGGACGGACGGTGAGGTCTGACATGCAGACATGTGGACTGACTGACAGAGTGAGTGATATGTGTGTGTGCGATGACTGACATGCATGGCATGAGAGGAGTTTCATGCTGTTGCCGAATCAGCGTCGCATTGCCCCCCACCCGGATGCACACATGGCGGCTCCCGCGTGCGAACACAGAGTCAACAAACTCCGGGATTGCAAGTCGATGGTGCTTTCATGCTGATTTGGCCGTGGTGGCCGTGTGTGTGATGAGTTGACGTCGGTGACCGTACCGGCCAGCAGGTGGGAAAGAGTCTTTTTGCATACATTCGTGTACATGATTCTTCGTGTACACGGCCATCATGAAGAATGTATAAATGAAGCATCAAGAGCTCCTTTTGCTTTTACATTTACATGATTTGATCGAGGGTCCGGCGAGAGGTCACGGAGAGCAAGTGTGCGCTCGAATGTTTATGCGCACTCTCGTGTCTTCGAGCACATGCGTGCATCGGCCTGGCTGCACTCCTCGTCGGCACTCGTCGAAACTTTCCTGTAGTCGGAGCGGCTCCAAGCAGCAGCGACCAAGGGGGAGCCAGTCGCGATCTGCCCCCGCAGTCGCCTGCCGCTCGCCTCCCGCGCTCCTTCATCGCAGCAACAGCATCATGGTGGCCCGCCGGTCCGCGTTGCTGGTGCCCGTCCTGGCCCTGTGTCTGCCCGTCGACGTGAGGTGCCAGGTCATGAGCGCGCCGCCCGGATGGGGAAACGGCGCTCACATGAATGGGAGGCCCACCATCCTCCCGATCCCATCTGAGGAGGAGGTAGAGGCTCGGCACCACATGCAGATAGAGGGCGATGCGGCTTCTCTATCCGACACGATCGACTTCTCGGATGTCCCGAGCAGAGAAATGGTGCCGGCAGCCGTCGCCGTCTATCGTGCTGGAATCATTGGGCTGATAGCCAAACCATGGGCATACAGTGCGAGACGCAGGAGGAGTGCCTGGCGAGTAAGGAGCATTGCTCTCATTGCTGGGGGAACTGCGATGACAGGACCTACTACTGCACACGGCTGCTGCGCTGCTGACGTACTTCGAGTCCGTGCCCGTCTGTCTGTCTGCTGTCTGTCTGTCTGTCTGTCTGGCTGGCTGGCTGGCTGGCTTGGTCGGTTGTGCGTTTGGGTGCGGTGCTGCGCGTGTTTCTGTTGGCCGACGGCGGCCAAGCGAGTCGTGTCATAGTGTGTTTGTCTGTCCGATGTATGGTCAGCCATATATGCCATTTACGTGTCAGTCGTGGTTTGTGCGTGTGTGGCTGTGAAGAGCAGTTTGGCCTTGTTGATATACACACACGCATGGATACACGGACATAGTGACTTGGTCTCCTCGTCATCCATTTGAGTGCACTGTCACCCGGCCCACTCTCGCACTACCCACTGTCCCGTCCTCAGGCTCCCTCAGCCCCCGCTCACCGGCAGTCCGCAACATCTGTCCATTCAGCTGAGCCGGCTGGGGGGGCTGCGGGGAGGGGGAAGGGGGTGCCGCTGCTGCTGTCGATGCGGCGTCATTGTTGCCACTTGTGTCGTCTTGTCCCGGCTCGTCGTCTTCTCTGTCGTCGTTTGTCCGGCCGTTGTCTTCTTCTTCATCCTGTCCGTATGTCGGGTCGAGTGCGGCAGGTCGTGTGCCGGGCTCCCTGTCCTTGCCCTCTGCCATCTTGTCGCTCAGCAGCAGCATGAAGTCCTCCTCGGGATTGTAACCTGCACCAAGGGAGTGGATTGATCAGACACCCCCACAGAGAAGGCGACGAGTGCAATATATGCAGACGGGATGAATGTGTGTGTGCGTGTTGGTACCTAGTAGAGTGAAGTTGTCGAATAGCAGCGACGCGGCGAATGGGTCCAGCTCCTCATAGCGACGAACGAAGCTGCCGTGGACAGCATCCAGCAGCTCGCGATTGCACGACCTGACACCACGACGACAATATATGCAGTGAGTGAGCGAACGAGAGAATGAAGCCGTCTGTCTCCAGGGTGGCCTGCCGGCGTGGCGTACCTGACAGCGGCGAAAGAGTCGACGATCCTGACAATGGCAGTCATGTTGAGCTGGTTCTTGGCCATCGCCGCCGTCAACACGTCCAGGTTGCTCACCAGCAAATACTGACAGGCTCTGACCACCGATGCGCCGCTGGAGCTGTCCCCCTCCTCCCATGTGTGTCGCACGAGCAGCGAGATGGACCAGAGCACCGAGACCAGGTCGGGCACGCACTGCTGGAAGCGACCCTTGAGTGCGAACACCCTGTCGATGACCGTGATGAGCTCGCCGTGTTCGAAGGGCAGTCGCCACCTGGCGTAGGTCATGAGGAAGCTGGAGATGTCCTTGGGGTGGAAGAGGGCGATGGATGTGACGGAGCTCTGCCGCACTTTGTCAAAGATGAGCTGCAGGATGGGCAGCTGCTCCTCGCTGATGACCTCACGGATCTGACCGAAGGCGAAGGCCGTGGTGGCCAGCTCGCTCGGCGACATGAACAGCAGCTTCTCGGCGGCGTAGTGGATGCACACCTCGAACAGGTCGGGGGCGTTGCGGCCGACCTTGGCATAGGCGTGGATCATGCGGGCCAGTTCCAAGGGATACGCCTCGGCTATTGTGATGCGAGCACGCTCTGGTGGATCCCACACAACACACACACACACACACACACACAGGTGGTCGTTTAGTGGAGTGGTCGGATGGACGTGCCTGCGATGGCGTCGAAAAGTGCGGGGTGTAGGTGGTTGACGCGTGCAAAGGCGCCAGCAATGACCGACAGCTCTCGGATGTGGAAGGACTCCTCCTTCATGCGAAACAGCACCTGAGACCGACGAGGGAGGTGACATGACACACCAGTCAGTCAGTCCATCAACTGACTGACCCACGGTGCGTGTCGGCGGCCCGTGTGTGAGGCATCCATCTGTGTACCCAACCCACCTGTGCGGCGAGTCTGTCGAACAGGTCTTTGTCGTATACATGGAGCTTGGCGAGCGCATTGATGAGCATCGACAGCTCCACTGGCGTCTGGAACTCCTGCAGCCGCGCCTGGATCTCACGCACGTACGCCGACATCAGACTCACATCGTATACGCCTGCACACCACACCCAGAGCCATCCATTCATGGCACACACATTCCTCTGGGGCAATCAATGGTCTACCTGCTTTGGCGTATGCCGCGAGGACCATGGCGAGGTAGATGCTGCTGAAGTAGATCATTTTCTTGCGGATGACAGGCGCCAGCATTTGGAACAGCTCCTTGTCCGTCCGACGGACCCGCGCTATGGCATTCAGAAACAAGGCGATTTCAGTGCTCTCCATCGACGACGTCAGCTGACAGGACACAACCAGAACACAGCCGTTCATCAGTGACGTACATGGGCAGGGCAGGGGCGTACCTGTTTGGCCCTGGTGGTCATGATGTTCCAGAAGACCTCATTGTGGACCCCCTCCCGCGCCGCCACGTTGGCCCACTGACCCAGCTGATCCGCATCCATGTTGCTCGGGGGTGGCATGCTCGTCAAATCCGTGGCTGCATTCACGCAAACCAAATGATGGATCATCAATGTGATCTCCGTTCTGCACGCATACGGGGCGCACGTACCTTTCTGAGTGGCTTGTTTGGCGAGCGGCCGCCACATGGCCTGCCTCTGATGCCATGCTGTGGCTTGGGGATTGAACAGCACAGTGGACATCTTGCTCGCCTTCGACGGCGGCGCGGGCCGCAGCTTCTGGGATGACGTGGGGTGGGCAGACGAGGCCGGCTGTGCGGGAAAGATGCTGCCTAATGGCGGCGTGTTGCGGGATGCTCTGCCGGACATCTTGTTCCCGATAGATGAGCCAAAGAATCAGTGAAAACGCAGATCGGGTGACTGAATTGACCCGTTCAGCTCCTACGAGCACGTCAAACACCCGATGCTTCCCTTCTTCCTCCCTTCTGGGCGCGAGCTTGGTGCGAGCTCAGTGCAAGAGGTTTCCAAGGAGGCTGGGTTTCGTTCGTTCGTTCGAGCCGTGAGGGCCCACGGACCTGGGATCTCGATGCAGACCAACAGCAGGAGCAGTCCAACAGAGCAGAGGTGGACCTCCCAGGACAGCACGGGCATGCCGTCCTCACAGCTGGAGAGTGCACAGCCTCAACACAACTGGAGATCCAATCATCGTATCAGCAGGAGGCCCTCATGGCTCATCGCATCGGTCTTATGCCTCCCGCTGCTGGAGTTCGCCTCAGCCTTTCGTCCCCCTGCTGCCCTCTACGCTGCTCCGTCCCCTACCAAAGTGCGACCAAGATCCGCTTCGGTGGGCATGCGGCTGAGTGATGCTGATGCAGATGTCCCGTCTGCTACCACACCGCGGCGAGCCTTCCTCTCCTCTCTGGTCGCTATGCCTGCTGTCGCGGCGGCTGGTGCGGCGCTGTCTTTCCCGCGGCCCAGCGAGGCTCTACCAGAGGGGTTCTTTGACGCCGTGTTTAAGCCCTTCGAGCCCAGCAAGCAGCCGCCCCCTGCGCCCAAGAACGGATTCATCACCAAGTCAGGCGTCATCTTCAGCGACTTTGAGCAGGGCACTGGGCCGACGCCGCGTTGGGGTCAGTTCGTGTCGGCCTTTGTGGAGGGCTACATGAAGACCGACAGGGAGAGCGCCCCCGTGCAGTACTTTTCTTCTCAGGCGGAGCTCAAGGGCAAGTATGGCAGGGGGGAAATGTTGATGCACCATGGCAATGGGAGGACAATCAGAGGGCTGGAGGAAGCCATTCATACCATGAGGGTAGGGTAATCCACGCCACACACACAGACACGCAGGGAGGGAGGGAGGGAGGGATACAGACGCACACACGATGTATGTATGTGGTCTGGTCGTGTTTGACTTCGTTCGTTGTCTCAGGCTGGTGGCCGTCGTCGCGTGATAGTGCCTGCCAACAACCCCATTCTGTCTTACTTCGCCACCGACGAGCGGGCGTTCATGCCGGCGCCATTCAACTTCATGCAGCGGTACCGCTACGAGCGGCTGCTCTCCCAGATGCAGCCCGACGGGCAGTTCATCTTCGACGTCAAACTGGTGAAAATATTCGACAACGAGGCTGACCAGGTGAGGGAGGGAGAGGACGACACACACACACAGCCGGTCGTCAATCCTGCAGTGGGTGTAGGGCACATATCTGGCTTCTCTCTCTCTGTGTGTGTGTGTGTCAGGGTTACTTTGAGGATGAGATTCTGGACATTCGAGACGAGAGGGTGCAGAAGCAGCTCATCCGGGCCGCCGAGATCTTCGAAGAGGCCAAGGCACAAAAGCTCCCCATCAGGACGCAGGAGTACTGAGCCGACTGGGGCAGCTATGGTGGACGTGCACGCTTGTGTGGCGGCCGGGCCGTTCGCTGAGATGATGAGGGACGCGGGTGGGATGGCCATGTACAGATATCGATGTGATGTGTATGGGTGTGCCCGTGCCGAAGCACGACACACGCACCAGTGGCTTGCGAATCAAGTGTCGACCGACGGGTTATGGGATGGCATATAGACAGACATGGTATGCGTTGATTTGGTGGCGGGGCATAAAGAAGGTAGTGAGTATACTAGACAGTCAGTCTGTGGTGGGGGACAAGACAAATACTACGACTGACTCACAGAAATCACTCATCCGTCCAGTTCACGGCATCCCATCGCGCATGTACAACGAACGAAGACACAAAATTCCTGCCTGCCTGCCTGCCTCACCTCATCCACCCCTCAGCAACTACAAACACACGCTCGCAGCATTACACAGTGACTAAATGTCGGTGCATGGCAATGGCATGCAATCAATGCAGCACAGCACACGACAGGAAGTAAGTAAGTCGGTTAGGTATTCCCTCGGCCTGCAGTGCACACACACACGCCTAGCCTAGCTGCACACACCACCCACACATTTACACGCATACAGACAGACCTCCGTGGCGAAGAATAGCTGACTGATCCAGCTAGAAAGGATATTGACGGGTGTTCATCACTTAGTCCTGTTTGTTCCTCCTTTTGTGGAGCACGCCCGCGTATCGGCCAAGCATGAGAATGCACGCCTGCACGTTCATGCGCGTCACCTGCAGACGGACAGACAGACAGACAGACATTGATGTCGATCATGGATGGCAACGGAGGAAGGAGAGACATGTGTGTGTACTCACACGTCGCCAGCCCTGTGTGAGGTGTGAGGTGTGAGGTGTGAGGTGTGAGGTGTTTTGTGTAGCCAGCGTGCCTGTGGTAGGACCGAGGCGTCGCATATGGAGAGGGAATCGATGCCCTTGACACGGAATTCACTGTCCACCACAGTGCCCATCGACGCCGAACCCACCCAATGCCAAATCCCTGTGCCATGTCCCTTGACAAACTCCTCCAGCTGCCTCACATCCGTCGCGTCTGAACGCACGCACACCAATCCGGATACATGTCTTGTCTGCTGTGTTGCCTGTGGTGCAGTCAATTGACTGGCTGACCTCTTGGCAGCGGAGGCACCACAGCAAACTGCCGTGCTGCTTCAAGCTGCCCCTTCACACACACGTCGCCATGGGGGTCCGACTCGCACGCCGCCTTTTGCAGCCGCACACCCTCCTGCAGGCAGACGAACAGGAGGCGTGCATCACTACTCCGCCTGCGTTTCGCTTGCGTACCGCTGCGGCAGGGTGTGGTGGCTCCTTGGCCTCCTGGAGTCGTTGCCTCAGCCATCTGGCGACGCTGGACCTCTCCCCCAGCCACTCAGCGGCCTCCTCACGGCCGACCCCCAGCTCATCTTCAGACAATGCCCGCATCCCCATGACGGCATCCCGCTTCCGATGCAGGTAGCGGGCGAATAGGAGATCCTGGACCTCTTGGGGGGTCCCTACGACGCGGTGGTTGTCTCGGGAGCCTCTCTGCGTGATGGCTTCCAGGAAGGCGGCCAGGGAGGGGAGGGTCTCGTCGGTGATGGGGAGGCCCGTGAGGGGCCGTGATGCGACGAGGATCATCTCGAGCACCTGGTTGAGCATGTGAGCCGGACACGAGAGGGGCCCTCGCTTCTGAATGACGCCGTCCAAGTGGCCTGTGCCCAGCATCTGCACCAACACACCAGTCAAAACACCGTCATACAGTATTGCATGGGTGCGGTACATGCCATGGTGTGTGTGTTGTGGCCTTCCGCCCAGAAGCCCCACTCACGCGTATGGTGTGTGTGAGGCCCACGACGGCCGAGTGAAGGTCGACTCCGTCCTTGTCGCTGAAGTAGTTGCCGTAGATGATGGGCTCGCCATTCTCGTTGACGGTGATGTTGCCCCGCGACTTGGGCACCGGAGGGAAGGTCATGAACCCTGCCACCCTTCTGCAGGCATCAAAAACAAAGGCCACAGCCAGCAGCAGCAGCAGTGCAATGCATTGCGTTTCACCCTTAGTTGGTGCAGTCAGTTTTTGTGAGTGTGTCCACACCCACCTGAAGCAATCAAACATGGGTTTGAGCGGTGCACACAGGATGCTGTCTTTGTTGTCGAGGCACTCCTCAATCACTGCCACAAGGAAGTCCGTCTCACTGAACGAACGCATCGATGGATGGCCGCCCGCAGGCAAGCAAATCGCCACACATGCGGTGGGTTAATGTGTGGTGCTTACGGTGCCTTGCGGAGGGCTGGTGGGAAGAATACCCGTACGACGATGGACAGGTCTACGGCGCTGACGCCCGACCCTTCCTCGCTGTTGACGTAGGTGCAATCCAAACTCACATCGCCCATGCTGTATGTAGCCATACAACACAACACAAGAAGGAAGACAATCACAATGAGGTCATTTCGCTTGGCAGTGCCGCATTTCTCACTCACTCACTCACCCAAAGTCACTGGGACAATGTGCCCCGGCGATTTGGAAGCCGCTGGTGGTGCCGAGTGTGGCGTTGTGCCCGTCGGCAGGAATGTCGTGGTCGAGGAACACCATCACGGCAGTCCATATCCGCTCGTGCAGATTCTGACCCAACTCGGGGATGTCTTTCACCACCTCCCCACCCTTGTTAGCCATCACTCTGCTGACTACCTCCTTGGGTCCCACGCCACTGTTCATCAGGAGGTGGGGGGTGAATATGGCACCGGCTGACAGGAAGACCTCGCCGCCAGGCCTGATACACGCCCTTCCCACGTCTCCATCTTGCCTTTTTGACGCGCCACTCGGGTTTCCTCCTTTCTTTGACAGTCCCGCGTTGGCAAAAGAGTCGATGGGCTCCAGCACCTCTGGCGAGTCGACGAACTCCACACAGGTGGCACGAGGCAGCTCGCCGCTCGTGTCAAAGAGGATGCGTGTGACGGTCTTGCGCAGCATGACCTCCAGCCCACTGGGCACACCGGGCGGGTCAGCGAGGGTCCCGTTGAGCAGCACGTCCGCAGCGAGTCGCTTGCGGTAGGGCGACAACCCATCCTCGAAGAGTGAGAATGTGGTGAAGGTGCCGTAGGTGAGGTGCTCGCATGCGTCGTGGTGTGGGGTGAAGCCGACAGTCTCCTGTGCGTGCTGGACTGCCGAGGTCCACGGCTCGTTCCATCCCATTGGTTGAGAGGTCTGGTCAAAGATCCAGGAGTACGACTGCACACACACGCATACTCCACAGTGATTGGACGGTTGAATGCCTCTTGGGCCTCTCACTCTCTCACCTCGTTGACGAGCTGCATGTCGAACGAGGCCCCGAACCTCTCCAGGTATTGATAATAGTCCGCTAGCTCCTTTATCTGGATGCCCGCATTCAATGCTGTCCCGCCCGAGAGCACATTGGAAACATGCGTAGCCACATTATCTAGTGTCCGGATGTGCTGTGCGACGTCTGGCTTGCGCAGCGCCACCCCCCATCCGGCGGGAGTCAGTGTGTCTGGATGGTCCTCCCGCCTGCCGCCCCTCTCGATGAGCAGCACGTCAGTCTTCCCGCCCTCAGCCAACGTGAAGGCCAGGGGGATACCAGCTGCACCGCCACCCACCTGTGTGTCAGAGAGAGGACTCGTCTGATGTGTGTCTGTCTGTTCGTTTTGTGCCGCATTGTACCACTATGTAGTCGAAGTGGGCTGCATCCTTTGAGCCGGATGGCGTCGCGGAAGCCGCTCTGTGTGCGAGTTTCCCTACCTCCTGTTCGGCAGCAGGCGGCGCACAGCCGATGTCCCCCCACATGATGATCAGAAGCACCATGATGGACAGTCTCCAAAGCCGCCCTCTCCGCCTTCGCCTTTGCCATCCCCACGCCTGGGGGAGGACTGGCGGCGAACCAGCAGCATGATTCTGCTGGCAAGGCGGCACCAGACGTCGACAACACGGCGTCACGCCGCTTTGTGGGTGAGGGGGATCTGACTCAGCCATGGTGGCTGCCTGCGCCCTCACCCTCACCTCAAGAGGCGCATCGCTGCGCAATCTCTGCTGCTGTTTGTCCACCCCCCGTTTTGTACACAACGGTCGTCGTAAACTCATACATTTTACGCAGTCTGCTCTGGCCCATCGATTGCAATGCTAAACAATGATGAGCCACGCAATGTGTTGATCCATCCATCCATCCATGTCCATCACAAGAACACATCGATCAGCTGCTGCTGTCTGTCTGTCTGTCTGTCTGTCTGTCTATGACCGGATGACGTATAGCGGCGCGTCAACCGAGACAGCGTCCATCCCGCCGGTGAGTGCCGTGACGTGCCTCACGCCCCACTGGAACAGCCGCTCTGCCAGCCCCCTACCGCTCTCACGCCGGTCGCCCACTATCACCACCAAGTCCAGCACCATGGGCTCCGTCTGCTGCTTGTTGTTGAGCCACGGGGGGGAGTTGGGCGGCGTGAGAAGGGGGTGTGGGTGGCCGTCGGAGGTGGGCGGGAAGATGTCTGTCAGCGGCAAATGGCGGGGCACTGGCACAGAGTGAGACCTGACGGAGAAACAAAGCCGCAAATGCAACTCACTCAGACGTGTCATGTCATGTCATGGCAGTGTTGGTATGTATCAGCCACCCCCCAGCCACCCATCCCACTCACTGACCCGTTGAAGTGGCCTTTGGCAAACATCCGTTTCGGCCGCGCATCCAGCACTATCACCCGACCGCCCTTCCTGCCCTTGCCGCCCTTCGTATCAGCCTCGTGGCCATCCTGCTGCTGGTTGGCGACATCCACCAGGTCGTCGATGGACAGCCGTGCCACGCTGGGTCGCGAGAAGTCCACAGGCAGGTCTGTGGGCGAGCGGAAGGGGGCGACGGTCCGCGGTGCAGCGGATGCCATCATCGGGTCGAAGGCATCGTCCTCCCACCACCGCTCGACGGGCTGCGAACTGCACACATCGACAGATGCGCCGGAGGAAGAATGTGTGTGTGTGGGGAGGTGTGTCGTCTGTTCATGTCCCCTCTGACCTATGCGTGTTCTCATCTTCGTAGAAGTCCGCCGGATCAGAGGGACTGCAGGAAAGCAGACAGACAGACAGACAGACAGACACCCGCAGGTCGTCTTGGCCACCATGTTGCTTGTCTCACCTTCTTCTTTGTGTGCGCCCACGCCTTGGTCGTGTCTTTGCCGAGACGGCAGCCGACGGCGACCGGCTGAGGCTGCGCGGCGAGCCGAACGACTCGCCGTCGCTGCCACTGGCCGAGTTGGACGACGTCTCTTCATCACCAATGAAGAACGACACACCTGACACACACAGACACAGACGATCCAACACCTGCAGCAATCGCCGCGTGTATCTCACCTTCATGGGCCGCAGCGGCCTGCTCCTCCTTCTTCGCAAGGAGGGCTCCGTCACCCTCTGTCGCTGCTGCTGGTGCTGGTGCCAGTGCATTGTTTGGGGTCTGTGCCTTCTTGGGTGTGAGGAGCACCGAGAGGCTGACAGGTGTGGAGTTGTGCAGCCGCAGGGCGGTGGCGGCGATGTCGGCGATGTCGATGAGCGAGGGGCTTGACGACAGCAACGACAGAGCACACGACACGTCATCGATGGCTGCACGACAGACGGGAAGGGAATGACACATTGAAGTGTGGAGGATGGACAGACAGATGGGGGGATATATGGGTCATTTGTGTACCTACCGAGTAGGTGTGTCCTGAGTGTGTGCAGGAGAGTGGCGGCTATGAACACGGTGAGGGAGGGGGGCTGCACGCACACAAACACACACACACACACACACACACGCACACGCGCACTCAAAGGCGTCCAGTCCATGTGCAGTGCGTGTGCTGCCTTGTCTATCGTCATTCAGGCCGACCCACCTGCACGAACAGCGTGTCCCATAGGGGCAGCAGTTGCTTGAGCGGCAGGAGGTGTGAGAACAGAGTCAGAAACCACGACAGACTGTACAGGTCGGGGTGCAGACCTGCACACACACACACACACACACACATTGGCCACATGCATAGATGGATGGATGGATGGACGCATCGAAGGCGTTGTGTGAATGCCGCAGATAGATACCTACCGATGGTCTGGAGGTGTAGGGCCAGCTGTGGGTCGAGGAAGAACAGCAGGGAGTTGAACAGGTACAGATACCCACGCAGATGGGCACACTGATCCTTCAGGAAGAAATTCTGACACACACACACACACACACACACGCACACACGAGAGAATGCATAGACAGACAGACGCACAGAGAGAAGTTATGGACGGTGGTGTGCTCATGCATCCATCCATCCATTGGATCACTTCCAGGAAGTTCCTGAGTATGGCCCGCAGACATGCGAATGCGATGTGCTGCTCGTGGTAGAACAGCACCACCAGAGGCGACGCGACGCTCTCCAAACCACTGCAGGCAGGCCATCCAACACAAGACAACACAAAACAGTGGACACAAATGCATGGAGCCCGCCGTATCTCACTCACCGCAGGTAGGCCAGCTGTGGGCTCTCTTGGAAGCACCCCTTGAGCAGCCGCTCCACCCTCGACCGACCCTCAGCTGTCGCCAACAAGGGGCGATACTGAGTGAGTGGACACACACAGGCACCAGACACACACACAGACATGCGAATGAATGAAGGTGAGGTGCCCCGCCCCCCATGATTGATGGCTTTGGCTGCCCTCCCTCATATGCACTCCATGGCATTTGGCTATGTCGAAGTCCACCGAGGGCAGCTCCTTCGGCAGCGGCATGGTGCTCAGCCGATCCAGGTACACTTCTTCACACGCCAGAGCCGTTTGGCAACCCGCGCCGGGGGGCAGACCCAACAGAGCCGCCCACACCTGCATGCACCACAGGGAAGAATCCATGTGTGTGTGCATGTTTGTGTGTCTGGGTGTACGTGTGGGTGGCTGCCTCTGACCTGCGGTCTGAGTAGTGTGGGTATGTCGTGTGTGGCCTCGCGGATCAGCTGTGGCCGCGTGCGTGGCAGACGGCGCAGCAAGTCGCGGAACAAACGGTACCTGAAGAGAGAGAACGTTGCAGGGATCGCATCGGGTGTGTGTGTGTTTGGCTGAGTTTGTGTGTGTGTGTGTGTGTGTGTACCTGAGTCGCTGGTAGAGGAAGTGGGAGTGACTCGCGGCCGGCGAGGGACACACCTGCAGGCAGGGTGAAGCACAGACGCACTCGTAACAATAGACATTCCATGAGACCTTTCTGTTTGCGTCATTTCCCCCCTCCCACCTTGTCTGCGTGCTCCAGGGGAAACCTGTCTGCTTCCTCTAAGGCAGACACAAGGCCACTCAAATCTACCCCTAGGCAAGGCAAGCACATACGCGCAATGAATGCACACACAAAGCGGCACACACAGACGCAGCTCTTTCCATTTCAGAGCGATCGCTCACCGATGGCCTCAGTCCTGTTTGCCTTCCACCCCGAGTTTGTCCACCCCTCCCCCAGCCGGCCCCTCAGCCGCCCACACACACCGGCACGCCACACACCAAACACGTCGCCAGCACCACCGGCACCACCAGCACTCCCGTCATCCCTCCCACCCTCATGGCACACAGTGGCGGGGGCCATGTGTGCCATGTCGATGGCGCGCGGGACGAAGGGAGTCGCCTCGTAGCACTGGCTGTCTACGGTGCATTTCTCGACTAGAGGGAGGGTGAAGAGTGGCGGGGCGGGGTGGACGGCGTGGACGTCCTGCAGTGCATCGGACAGGTCGCCCCCAGCCAGCCGCCACCAGTAGTACAGCGACGAGATGTCCGTCTCCTCCTCCTGCGTATCTTCTGTCAGGTCGTCTGCCGCTCTGCCGCTGAGCACGTCATCGACTTTCAGAGGGGCCAGCCGAGCGCTGAGGGGGCGGGGGGCCGGCACCCACTTGGGCAGGGGATACGACGGACTTGTGAGAAAGCCGTGGGAACTGCACAGCACACAGTGCAGTGCCATCCACGAGTGTCGGCGATGAATGCAATGCAACCTCGGTGTGTGTCGGTGGTCTTACGTGAGGTCGCGGGGTGCTGGGCGGTGGAGTGGGTGAAGGCAGAGGCAGCATGACAGGAAATGCCGCAGGTTGCTTGACCCATCAGCCAGCGCCGGATGCAGCGGAAGTGACTCCACACTTGAACCACCACCTCCCATTCCACCACTGCCACCCGATTCGTCCCCCGTGTGTCCATCGTCCCTGCCGGCCAGCCAGACGAGCAAGCTCCGCTCCACCGCACGCACATCCGCTGCCGTCACACCTTCTGGCAGGAGGTCACCGATCGCTGGCATGACTTCCCCCTCAAACGCCCCTACCTTCCCTCTCGCATAGGCCTTCACCGGCGACATCGACTCGCCCCGAGGCGACCCCAGTGACCGACTCCGGCCCTGGGATGACGGCAGGGACACCACCGACAGGCCCTCCATCATCGTGTCATCGGATGCTGACGATGACCCTGTGGTTGTCGCGGTGAGCCGGCTGCCCCCTGTATGTCTGCTCCTGCCTTGTGCCGCCGCCTTGCTGCTGCTCTTGGCGTGGACGGCAAAAGCGATGCTGGCGAGTCTCTGAAGGACGTGCAGCGATATGGCCGACACGACGTGAGGGGGGAGGGGTGTTGCGGGGGGCTGCCACCGTCCACAGACGAGCTCCATCAGCAGGACGCCGACGGCCCAGACGTCGGTCTGGCTGCAGGGGCCGGCCGACGGGTGGGTGAGAGACCTCTCGGGGGCGAGGTGGGGAGGGGCCGGGATGGCCGGCAGGGAGGGGAAGAGGAAGGAGAGGCCGTAGTCGCCGAGCCTCACATTGCCCTTGCTGTCGATGAAGACGCATTCTGGCCGCAGATGCCCGTGGGCGATTCCTTCTCGGTTGAGGAACTCCAGCGCATCCGCCAGCTGACCAATCCACTGCCGTGCCCTTTCCGCATCCACGCCGGCTCCTTTGCCACTGATGATTGTGTGGGTCCATCTCTCAGACACGATGAGTAGGCGGCGGCCGCGCTCCACGACAATTGCGACGTATGCCGCTAAGAAGGGATGCCGTATCGTCTTCAAGCGTTCGAAGCGCTCCACGAGGCAGTCGAGGTCGGCGGCTGGCGGCGGCGTGAAGGACTGAAGGGCGAACTGCATCACAGCTGAGGATGGAGTGAATGAACTCATCAGATCTTCGCTCTCGTCCCCACCAAGGTGGAGAAGACTCCCGCTTGCGCTTTTCTCTCCCCTTGCCAGCGTGAGCTGGCAACAATTTCAGGCTCGCAAGGGAAGAGAGCTGCCGAAGAGAGGGGGAAGAGCTTCAGATGCTGGAGTTTTTCCGCGCGTTTGTTCATAGTGCAGTGGTGAGGACTGCAGCGACGCTCCGCTCTTTCGTCCAGCGAGGGACTCATCTGGATGGCCTCATCGCCAACCAGCGGGCCTTTCGGCTGCCAGATCAACTCATCAACCGCAACGAACTCCCATCGCTTGTGGCTCTAAAGGCTCTTAGGAGTGTTCGCAAGACGGCATGGCGGCAGACCGAGAAGGCACCCGCCGAGAGCGACCAGTCATCAGTCAACGAGGCGCTGTTGTCTTCCCTGGAGACGCTGGGCTTCACGCGGGCATTCTTCACTCTTCTGCCGAAGGCGCCCAAGCTGGCGGTACTCGGCGTGCTTCGCAGCGAGATCGTGCGGATGGACCTTATGCGGCGCTGCTACAAGCAGCTGATGACGTCCCTCAAGGAGACCACAGGCGCCACAGCAGCGGACATCCAGAGGAGGGTCGCTGCGGCACCGTGCATCGAGATGGAGGTGGCCCTGGCCGACAAAGTGGGCGACCACAACGCGACGCTGCTGACATACAAGATGGTGCGGGGTGAGGGGACCTTCACGTATGCCATAGCAATGATGGGGCGGCAGAAGTATGTCGATGTGCCTGCGGGGGCCATGCTGCCGTCGTCCTTCAAGGACTCGATCCAGCAGCTGGCCGTCAAGAAGGATGTGGTGAGAGTGCCTGTGGGGCAGCGCACGATAGAGCATGTGCTGGCCACGGTGGCCGATCGACAACGCCGACAGAAGGCATTCGATGCGTACGCGGAAGGGTGGGACGATGACAAGGTCGCCAGCGCGATGCTGGAGCTGCTGCGTGTGCGGCACGAGATCGCTAATCAGCTGGGCTTCACGTGCTGGGGCGACATGCAGATACAGAAGAGGTATACGATACCCATCCACACAAGCCAAGCCCGGGTGCTTGCCTGCATCCCCCGCATCTCAATACCTGAAGGCTGATGCGGTGTGTGCGTGCGTCTCTCTGTGTGTGTGGGCCGCGCCCTTTGTGCAGGACGGTCGAAACACGCGAGAGCCTTCGGAAGCTTTACGGCGATGTGCTGTCGGCCCTCCAGCCGCACATCCAGGCCCTCGTCAAGAACGCCGGCAAGTCGGCCGCGATCTCCGACCGGACAACGGGGAAGCAGCCGGCCAGCGGCCAGGGGAACGTCGACTATGTGGATTTCCAGCACCACGCCCTCAATGTACACACATGAGCAGACCAGCAATGAGGCAGACGGAGAGAGGGGGTGCGCGTGTGCGTGTGTGTGTGCGTGCAGGCAGTGCATTGGCAGAAGGGGCATGATCCTATGCAGGAGCTGAGGATAGGGCTGCTCGCGCCCGAGATCCTCGAGATGCTGTCAGACATCCACGGCTTCCACTTCGAGGCCGTTCCCACGGACCTTTCCAACTACGGCTGGCCGTCGCACTACCAGCTCATCAAGGTCTATGACCGACAAGACCACCAGAGGAACGCACACCGCGCTCAAGTCATCGCCTTCCTCTACATGACGGCCTGCCTGCCGAAGAACCCGATCGGTCTGTTCGGTCAGTGGTCGGCAATGATATCAGGGTTTGGCAATGTGTCGACTGAGATGCTGGCTGACGGCCACATACACGTGTCCTGCCCCGTGGCCCTCAACCCCTCCGCTCCAGTGCCTCTGCACTCGGTCAGCCGGGAAGGAAGAGACAGACCAGTGACACAGGCATGCGCAAAGACGGGAGTAAACGTGGCCGGCCTGCCTGCCTGCCGCCTGGCTTGTGTAGATAACGGCTGTGTGCCATGAGCTGGGCCATGCGATGCACTTCATCCACTACCTCCGGAACAGGCGCACCATCCGGCAGGCAAAGCCGCTCACACCACACACACACGAGGCGACAGACAAGCAGCTCAAGGTGGGCGGGGTGGGTAGGCAGACAAGACAGGGAACACCGCCCCGCCCCGCCCCGCCTGGACGCACTCATTCCATTCCCTGGGTGTGTGTGTATGGTTATCCATCCATATAGGTGGATGGCGGCGGCTCGGGTGGGTTTTGGAACTATCGGCTGCCTTCCTGTCTCCCCATAGACATCACCGAGACCTCGGCTGTCTTCCATGAGTGAGTGAGTACGACGGCCACACACACACAGAGGGAGAGAGTGTCGACGGGCTGCTTGGACCTCTCTTTTGTCCTTCCTTACATGTGTATGTGTGTGTGTGTGTGTGTATGTGAAGGTACCTGTTCCGGGAGCCCAGCGCGCTGTCGAGGATGTGTGCGCCCTCAGTGTTGGCCAAGTCGGCGGGGTTCAATGCGCTGGACCTGCTGCAGCTCCTCCAGCTCTCACTCGTCGATGACCACCTGCACGGACCAGACCTCGAACCAAACAAGTATGTACGTACGTGTGGCCGTCAGTAAGTAAGCCCACGCGCATGCGTCTGTCCGGCCTTGATTCGTTCGTTCAGGTGCACGCCTCGTGAGCTGGTCGAGTCGATCAGGTCGGTGCTTGAGAAGACCCTCCCAAACGTTGAGCTGCCACACAACATGCCCGTGACTGGCCGACTGCAGCAGTACTTCGCCTCATTCGCAAAGTAAGCAGCCACCCACACCGACAGACCGACCGACCGACCGACCGACAGACACCCTGACGCTCCTGTCGTCTCCCTCCTCTGTAGGCACAACTATGCGGGCATCTTTTCGGTCTACCTGGTCGCCCACGTTCGCGCCTCGTGCGCCATGGCCGCCTACCGCCGCGCCCTCCAGAAAGGGGCGCTGTCAGCCTACTCGTCTGAGGTGCGGGAGGTGCTGCAGCACCCCATCTACCCCGAGGCGGCCATGGGGCTGCGGTCCACACTGGACCCCTCGGAGGGGTCGCTGGAGCCCCTCATGCCGGGCGTCTACGGCAAGGCCAGGAACACGGCTGCTGAGGCGGCGGGGAGAGGAGACGGGCTGTTCGGGGGGTGGAGGAAACACCCGGCTGAGCACCTGCTGGCTCGAGTCTAGTATATGTAGTACCTACCAGTGGCCAGTGGGTCGGTGGGGGGTGGGGCTCCTGACAGACAGACAGAAAGACAGACAGACGGTTTGTGTGTCCATGTGTTTCTCTGGCTGTCTTGTCAATACATACCGACCGTATGTATGGTGGATGGACTTACTTGTGCTGTGTCGACAGACATGGACGAATGCCAATCAATGGCTTCAAGGCATAGCATACACACACATACGTGTCTCATCGTTAGTCTGTGCGCAGCCTACCAAACATGCCACCATCCAGTGCACACCTGGCAATACCCTCGACCTCTTCGGCCGTCTGGCGGGGTCCCTGCTGGTTCGATTGCGCCTGCTGTCATCGGCGGCATGGGCGGGTCGGTGGGTGGGCGGGTGGTTCAATGTGTGTGAGCCAAGCAGGCAGACGACGGCTTTCTCTCTACGTGTGTGTGCCTCTCTGACTAAGTGTCCCTGTGTGTGTCTGTATGTGTGGTCGTTGCAGTGACGAAATTGGGAAGGGCAAGACATCCAACGCCGTGCGTATGTGCTGAGAGAGGGGTACGCGCCATGCAGTGCATGAAAGTGCCATTTGCAATGCTTCCCAGAAGGCATAGACTTATGTAATTGTCCGAGCGCTCTATGTGTCTACAACCGTCCAAAGAAACACAACGGGCAGGGCACTCAGACGGCCAGCCGGCCAATCATGTGGTTTGGCTCATGAACACACACTTCTTCTCGAGCGGCCGTGCACAGGGGCGAGCCTACACCTCGTGTGGGCGCGGGCGCCCACCACACGGGGCGGATGGCACAGTGAGGTTCTTGAAGTGGAGGCTGCTCTCGAGCTCCTGCAGCATCTGGCGGGCCCGCTCCCGCTCGCCAGTGGCGTCTCCTTCAGCCACTCTGGGTGCCTCCTGTCCTCCTTCAGTTGAGGTCGAGGGGACGGTGTCAGAGGTGCTCCTCTGCTGCTGGTTGTCTGCCGTCTCGTTGTCTATGTTGAGAAGCTGCTGTATCTGGTGTTGCAGCTGCTGCAGCTGCTGGTCGATCTGCTTCTGTTTCTCCTCGAGTTCCTGTTCTTTGCGGCGCATTTCGTCCTTCTCGGCCTCCAGTCTACGCCACTCACGCTCCATGCTCTGCTGCTGTTGTCGGTGGAGGCGCTCCATTCTCTTCTCCCGCTCCGCCGCCCGCTCCTCGAGTCGGAAGCGAAGCCGCTCCTGGATCTCCGAGCGCTCCTGGAGCTCCATTTCCCAGAAGCCCTTCCAATTGTCCAGCTCCCTCGCGTAGGCCTCAATGTCCTGCTGCCTGTCGACTCGGGGAAATTGCCAGTAGCGGAACTCGTCCGACCCACCCTGACGAAAGAACAGACAGACACTATATATGCGTGACCCTGCTGAACACGACCGAAGTGTGTGGCTGAGTGTGACGGTGAGGCTCACCTGGGCACCATAGGTGTAGCGGTCATCGTCGTTCTGTCGGCGATTGGTGCGGCGATTCAGTGGGAGCTCTTGTGTCTCCTCTCGTACCGCTGACACAGACAGACAGACAGACAGGCAGGCAGGCGTGTCGACGATGTGCCGGTGAGCGATAGAGAAGGGCCATGTGTGTCTCATCCCACCAGACCCCTCCTCACCTCCAGCGGCCCGATCCCCACCAAGCAACGATCCCAAGCCCGAGAACATCCCGCCGAACAAGCCGCCACCTGATCCGTTGTCCTGGCGATTGTAGGTGTCGTGGTTTTGCGGTGGTGGCGGATGGCGGCCCACCGAACTAGCCATCGCTTCCACCTGCAGGCCTGCATAGTCGACGGGCCTCTGCTGCTGCTGCTGCTGCTGGTGGTGGTGGTGTCGCGAGGCACCACGCGTCTTGTTCCGGGGCCCGAGTGGCGTCTGTGTGGTCACGATGCTGCACTGAATGCCTCGGGACACTGTCTTGCTGATATTGTTGGGAGCGCGGTATGCGGGACGAGAGGCGTAGTGGCTCTCCGGCTCGCCGCCCGGCTGGCCGCCCACTTCGTCCCAGCTGAGGGCGTGGTTGGTCTGGTGCTGTGAGTACGTGGGAAGCTGTCCATCGTATCGGTGTGGCAGCCGAGTGCTGAGAGGGGCACCACCGTAGGCGTCGTAGGCTGTGGGCTGAAAGGTGAGAGGGAGCAGAGAGAGCAATGGATGTGCATGGGTGACTGCATATGAGGAGTGAACACTCACCTCATAACGGTAGCTGGCCGTGTACTGATATGAATGGCCCGTGATGTGACCGTCTCCATAGACCCCTCTGACGTCGTTGTCTCGCCCTGTCAGACGCCCATGGCCCACACCGCCGCGCACCTGATGACCGACCGATACACACAAAGAGAGCGATGAATGGCGACATCCACCCATTCGTAGATGTTTGATGACTTGGCCTACTTGAGTGTATTCGGAGAACAGGTAGGCGCCATTGCGTTGGGAGGTGCCCTGATACTGCGCGCGTCGGTTGACAGAGACGGAGAGCCCTCCTGCAATCGTTCCGTCGAGGAACGGGGCGGCGTCCACCGTCTCGTCGGGCACGAACCTGGCCCCACAGTCTGCCCCTCCCGTATCGGCCCACGAGCAGGCAGCTCGGCCTTCCCCTGCCGGCCACCCTGTTGCAGCTGGGCCACCTGTCGGCCCTGTTCCTCAATTGGCACTCGCAGCCGGGTCCGTGACTCTCCCTGCCGCAGGACGCTCTCCTGCCTCTGTCGCCGCTCACCCGCCCTCCGATGCTCACGCTGGGCCATCATCGCTGAAACTCAGCTCAAATCTGCAGTAGGAAAGGCTTCAACTTCAACTTGAACTTGACTCGGCCAGATGTCGCAATCTTGTGGTGGGGGCTGCCCTCTTTCTTCTCCATTCAACAGTCAGAACATCCTTCCTCCGCAAGCGAAGATGAACGCTCCTCCGAGTGCAGATCAGATAGATCACACCTGTGATGATCGCCGTCAGGAAAGCATCACACCCGAGACCCATCTCGTCGGAGAGACATGACCGAAAACCGACCCCAATGTCATAACACCTATCTGTCTCTGTCTCCCCCGTCTGCCTTTGTCAACATCACCGAGCCACTGACGGCACGCGTCGCGCCTTTCGTCAGCGCAAGTGCGTCGAGGAACAGGGACCCTGTGTGTGCAGATTTGGACAGGATTGCATCATGTGTTGGGCTTGGTCAACGTTACAATGAATGAATGCCGCAGACAGACTAGTACCATCAACAAGCGGTTCAATCAATCAGCTTGGTCAAAGAAAAAAGTACGCCCGCCGTTCTGTCCGTTGTGCGTGTGTGAAGCATCCACACACACACACTCATCTCCATGAAGGCTGTACAATCATCAGATCTGCTATCCATCTGGGCCAGCCACGGCACCCACTGCACCCCACCCACTCGGCCACTCACTCGGTGTGCATATATGATGCAGTCAGCCCACGTAGAATGTGATCTCTTTGAGAATGGACTTCCTGCAGAAGGGGCACTTGTGGTCGGAACTGTTCGCCTTGTCCAGACACGCGGTGCATATACTGCACCAACCATATGCACACACAGCACACACACGGGCCCCCTCCCTCGTCTGTGTGTGCGTGTGTGTTTGTCTGCGCCTTTGCTTACGGGTGTCCGCAGGGGTACAGCATGAGAGCGCTCTTCCTGCATGCAATGCATTCCAAAGCAAAAACCATGCACCACACCCATGTGTGTGTGTGTGTGCTCATAGCTCCCTCCCTCCCTCTGTCCAGTATACTGCACTCACTGTGCCCGGCAGCACATGCACTGCAGCAGGGCGGTGCGCTCCTTCTCCTTCTCGACCAGGGTATCCTGCTGCTGAGCCAAACTGCAAACACACAACCACACACAAGTTACACCCAGATGTGTTTTGCGGTCGATCAGGCAAGTCAGTCGCGCTGCGGTTTCGCTTACTTACGCCAGTTGCAGCTTGTGGTATTCCTCTGTGAGTTTGGCGAGGGTGAGGGAGGCCTCGCTGAGGTCAATGAAGGGGCAGGCGACCTTGGCACCGCTGCTGTCGGTGAGGCTGAAGGTGGTCACCTCCCCACTGGCACTGGGACTCGACAGCCTCCCCCGGCTACCTGAACGTCCTCCGCCTTAACACACACACATCCACACACACACACACACACACACTCGTCAATTCAGTGTTGGGCGCTCTCTCTCTCTGTGTGTGTGTGTGTGTGTGTGTGTGACCATTGTGTCCGTGCTGGGGTACGGGGGCCCCGGCATGCGATTGCGCCTCTCTGCGGTCTGGCGGCACCTCTCTGCGGTCTGGCGGCAGCGACGCCAGCCGTGCCTTCTCGGCCTTGACTGGGCAGTAGGCGTCAGCCATCACCGTCATGACTGGGTCTAATCGAGTCATTCATTGATGATACCCACAACACAGAAAGGACGGAGCGGACCATTTGGGGGGTGGCAGACACGCGCAGATCCATCCATCCATCCATACATCCATGTCCATGTGCCTCTCTCCCTCACCTCTCGCTCTAAGTTTTGGTGCCTCGACTGTGAATGACACAAACTCGTCTATGAGCGCCGGCATGTCGTAGATGACAAAGCCCGCGTGCGTCATCCCGGCGATCCACTGCCGCACCTCATCGATGTTGATCAGCGGATTGCCGTGGAATGTCACTGACACACACGAAGCATGCGAGGGATCCCCGACCCTGACAGACAGACCACAGCCAAGAGGGGAGAGAGACGGGACGGGGGGGATGCACCTGGGCATCTGGTGGGGTGTGGTGTGGTGTGGTGTGTGTGCCCACATGCCGCAGCTGTTCAAGATAGATCGGAGCAGCTGCATGGCGCCAACCGCTGGACACACAGACACACACATGATGGCATGGAAGCAGCCGTCACACAAACACACACAGACGATTGCCTCGCCTCGCCTCGCCCCATCCCTTCAAGACTCACTGTCGATCTGGTTGTTCGAGAGGTCGAGCGTTACGAGTCCCCTCCGACACGCCGCCGTGCTCTGCAGGGCCTCAGCTATCGCACTTACGCCTGCACGCACCCAGCCAGCCATGTACACCAAAGTGCAGCCACACTCGTTCATTTGTCCGTCCTTGGGGGTGTGTGTGGTGTGTGTGTGTACCATCTTTGCTGATGTTGTTGTGGGTGAGGTCAAGATTAGAGAGGTGGCAGGGAGGGGCCGTCAAGGCAGCCTGCACCCACCACAACACAACACCATGTGACACACACACACACACAGAGTAGTTGGTTGGTGACTAACCATGGCTGCGGCGGCCCCGGCGTCGCCGAATTCGTTCTTGTCCAAGTGAGCCGTCACCTGCGCCTCCGGCAGAACATCGCCTGTGTGTGTGACACCACACCCAACCGACACAGAAAACGCACCAACCGTCAACGTGGCCGATGATGACGGTACCCACCCACCCACCGACCGACCTGACTGGTACAGATCCTCGACTAGCCACTGTCGGAAGCTCTCGAGATTCGTCGCATCTGACACCACCACCACCAAACACACACAGGTGTCAGGGAATCTTTCCGTAAGGAGGAGGCGACTCCACCCACTCAATTTGACCACTCGGAAGTCTTTACACGAACTCCGGAGTTCGCTGATGCTTTTCAGATTCTGCTCATAGTTGAACTGACAACAAAGGCACCCAGGAGATAGCAGAACAGTGTCGATGCCTCACAGGCTGGCCGCCCGTGCCTATTCGTGCCATTTTCGCTCACGTAGAGATGCAGGGTCCTGCGGTCGGTCGAGATGGAGACGAAATGGAGCCAGTTGATTGGCTGCACGCCACCACAACGGCAGAGATCACGACTGTCAAGCGCCATCGCGCCCAATGGTGGGTGAGCGTCGCTTCCTCACCTCCTGCTCCGCCATGCGCGCAGACGAGCTGAATATCGCTCATGCGTCATCCGCTGTTGTCATTTGCTGCCCTTCCCTTCCCTTTCTTCTCTCTGTCAGTTTTACGGCACATCCAACCCCAAAACACGAATTGTCCCCACCATGGCCTCCTCTCTCTGGACTCTTGCAGCCGTTTCCCTTCTCGCTGCTGCGCGTGGGCAAGCGCCCCCACCGCTGGACCTGGCAGCAGAACTCGGACACCACGAGAAGAAGCGAGATGCAGTCGACGTCAGGGAGAGCAGCGAGCCATATCTGAGGTCCCTGGACGATGACGACGATGACGACAAGGTCCGGCACACACAGAAGCACACGAGTGCCACCGAGGAATGTTCGTCTGCATGTCGTTCTTTCTCTGTCCGTACCGGTCTGACAGTCTGTGTGGGACAAGTGGCACGACGACAATGCCGAGCGGCGCAAGAAGGAGCAGGAGCGGCAGCTCATCGGCATCTTTGTCATATGCGGCATCATCGCCCTGGTCCTGCTCGTCATCGTCTGCATCACGTGCATCATACTCGTGCACCGAAAGAAGAGAAAGACCGGCGGCAAGAAAAAGAAGAAGCACCGGGACGACCGTGCGGAGACCGACCTTCACGCCGCCCAGATGCACGCGGCCTACTCGACCACCTATCAGCAGCAGACATACGCCCACCAGAGCTACGGTAAGACATGCAGGCACAAAAGGCATCATGTCTCGTGTCTCTCATCGATCCATGACCCTGCTCCCCCTCCCTGAATCAGGCGGTGCTCAAACCGGCAGTGGGCGGCCGGTGGTGTTTGTAGAGGACCCCTCCCTGGCCCCAGCCGCAGCACCAGCCCCCGCCATCCATACCGTCGCCTCTCATGGGCACGACTACTACGTCGACTCATCGCAGGTGGTGCTGCAGGCCGCTGCCCCGCAGCCGCAGCAGCAGACGCAGGTCATTGTCAAGAAGGCGGCCCCGCCCAAGAAGCCCAAGTACCTCATTGTGCAGGAGGACCAGCACGAGCAGACGGTGCCGCAGAAGGAGGAATTCGTTGTGGTGTCAAGCGCCGCCACCCACGCAGCCCCCGCCCCCCGGCCGCAGCCGGCGCCACTCAGTACGTCGTTGTGGGTGAGACGAGGCCGGCTCCGGTGCAGGTGCAGCCCAAGGTGTACACGACGACCACCACACAAGTCCACCACGTCAAGCGGCCGCCGCCCGTCAAGGTGGTGCAGCCGGCTCCCAAGGTGCAGGCCGTGCAGGTTGTGTCTCAGCCAGCCCCCAAGGTGAAGGTTCAGCCGGTGCTCGTGTCGACAGCTGCTCACGGGGCCCAGGTGGTGCAGCAGCAGGCCCGGCCGCAGATTGTGGCGGCCGCCCCAGCCGTCCAGCAGCACTATGCCGTTGTGAGTGCCCAGCCGCCCGAGCCGCCGAGGCAGTTTGTGGCGCTGCAGGGGTGGCAGGGGTTCGGCTATGAGGCGCCCCCGCCGCCCACTCAGATGAAGACATGGGACCAGCAGTACGCCGAGTGGTATGAACGGTGAGTAACCTACGAGACACGTACGCCACGGCGGCAGACAGACAGACAGGCAGTGAGGCGAGAAGAGAGGATGGCCGGCTTGGCTTCTTTTGCTGCCCACTCAGGTATATGGCCTGGTATCGTCGCACCGGTTGAGATTACAGCAAGAAGACGGGCAAATACTACTACTCGCATCAGGTTCTATCTAACACGGGAGTCAGGCACATCAGCAGTGAGTGCGTTGGCCGTCGATGTATGTGATGTGTGCTCTTTTGGTGTGTGATGTGCTCCCCTTCCTGACCTTTCCTTCAGTACAATCCCACCCCGAGTGCATACGTCAGCACAGGGCCGCGCAGGAAGAGGTGAAAGGCGGCGAGAGAGATAGACAGAAGGAATGGCGTGAGCGAGGTTGTTTGTTGTGGTGATTGGTCGATGTGGTCGGTGTGGTTTGAGTCGTGGACACGTCTGTGGACATCGATTTCTCTCTCTTTGTTCTGCCGTCTCTCTGCTTTCAACGGGCGGTTCCGATGGACTCCAACACACCATCAGTCGCACCCATTTCTGAAGCTGGCAGTTCATCATAACCTGGAGGCTCAATTAGAGCGTGTCAATTGATGATCGTCGGATCGTTAGCGCTGACGAGTGAGTGTCTTGACGTGTGCATGCGTCCATCAACGCGATTGTCCATCCTCCATGAAGCAGACAGGGACTGTACAGATCAGATGCACTCACGGATAACGCGCACACACAGCACAGAAGACACACACACACACACACATACATACATCAGCCACGCCCAGGGGACAGGGGAACGGACAAAAGCGTTCTCATGTCAATGCCATCCACCCATCATATCCACCCCCCTCTATCTCTGACTGACAGAGTGACCGACCAGCGGATGAACGCGCGAGCACGCACACGCACACATGGATCCGATCGATCGGTGATGCTCCCTGCATCTCTTCCGTGTGTGCGTGCGGGTGTCGCCATCCGGTCCGTCCGCAGCACGTACGGTCGAATTCAAACGGCCATGCAGCCAGCCAGCAAAAGGCACCCACACATACACTTACTACGATATGGCTACAGTAGGGATGCACTGTAGCTGTCTCACACACGCAAATGCACGCAGACAGAGATATGGATGGACGACATATGCACACCAGGCTGCTGTCTGTTCTGTCTGCTGCTCCCAGGAGCGCACACACAGTGCGCTGCGCACACGATGGATGGATGGATACGATCGACAGACGACGGGCGCACACACGCATGGCATGGAAAGACAGAATTGCGACCGATCGCTGTTTCTTTAATTCTACACACACGAAGGGAAGGGGGCATGCTGATATGGATGGATGGATGGATGTAAAGCCACCACACACACGGCCACACCACGGAGAAAGAAAGGGCTGGCAAAGTCACTTTGTGAGAGCCCGTCCATCCATCCATTGATTGCCCCATCTGTCTGTCTGTCGTCCGATCGATGCCATCGGCATGCGCACATACTCACCACATAGACACGCGCACCATGCCATGCAGCAAAATGCCCTTCTCCCTCTCTCCGTCCCTCCCCCAATCTGTCCACACACACACACACGCACACACACAGAGACAGACTGACAGACAGACAGGTGGACGGAGAGACGAGAGCCGGTCAGCCAGCCATTCTCACCCATGGCAGCTAGCGATATAGCTACGGCAAAAAGAGCGAGCATGCAGGCCCAGTGAGTGAGACGGCAGGTATACTCAGTCAGGGGGCACACAAAACAATACAATACACACACGATGGATGGATGAGTCAGTACAACAAGACAAGATCCACAGAAAAATGATAAATAAAGGTCAGGTCAGTCGGCCGAATACGCGCGTAGTCGCCCACTCATGCCAGCCACACCATGTCTGTCACGCCATGTCATGCCAGGCACCGACTCGCCCGGCCTGTCCATCCCCCGCTCCCTCCCTTCACCCCTTCCCCTTCCCGTAGGTAGGTAGATGGGTAGCAATATGCACGTGTGCAGCGGCTGCACACCCATCTGATGGGGCCGATGGATGTCGCTCGGTCATCCACACATCATGGCCGGCCATTATACGTATCTCCTGCCTGAGGGGTGGTTGGCGTTGACGTATGAGAGCATCAGCTGCATCACCTCGTTCGAGCGCAGCTCGGCTGGCACGGGCTGCTGACCTGATATAGTTGACGCATGACACACACACACACACACACAGTGTCTGTCTCTCTCCCTTTTCCCGTCTGTCTCTTTGTTGGCCCAGGCATGCCACCCACCCGAGATGTATGAGAAGAGTTGTGGGTTCTCCATGGCCAGCAGCGACTCGAACTGCGTCAGCTGATGCTCTGACAACGTCCAGATGAACGAATCCGCAAACGAACCCAACAAACGATCCAGCTCCAAGAAGCCACGCTGCTTGCCTGCATCAACCATGTCACACACAACACAACACCCACACGACAAGCGCACCACCCATCCATTCCATCAGCCATCCACCAGCCACCCATCTCCCTCTGGACACTCACTTTTCTGCAGCAGCGTGTGTCTGGTTTGCATCTCGGCCTCCCTCTCCTTCTCGCTCACGGCCATGCGACCCCCAAATGATGGCTGGAAGCGCGTCCGGAAAAAGTTGATCTGGTTGAGCAGTAGTCTAACACACACATGCACACACATGAGTGCGTGGCGGTCTGTCTGATTTGGGCAGTGTGTGTGGTGACTGACCGCCTCCGCGCAAAGCCGCTCATGGTCTCAATGACAACGATGGATCAATCAGCAAGGCCCAAGCCCTCCCTGTGGCACCGCAGCACAGACTGATGGGGGATGACCTCCAGCCGCCCTCGACAACAGAGGATGCCGGCGAACAACAACCGAGTTGACTGGCAGGGTATATGCTAACAACAGGTTGACGACCAGTTGACGATGAGGCTCAGGGGATCCACAAGACTGCCTCCTTTGCTCTCCTGTCCTCTCCTTGTCCCATTCGATGGGAAACGCCATGTCCCGAACAGATGGGTGAAGGGTTGGCCAGTGGCCGGCATAAAACAATCCATGAGCTCTAACACAGATCTTCGCATCTTGCCATATAGGCCGTATTTCCAGAACAGATGTAAGTTCTACTAGGATCTCAGCAGCTCTTTTGGCATCGGCCATGTTTCTTCAATCCCTTCTGCTTCTCGTCCTCATCCCGATGACATGCCTTGCCTGGGTGGGCATCAACTTCAGCGACAGCTTCACGTCCAACCCGCTCTCCCTCTGGCAGGCCATGGAGGTGCTCCGGTTGGCGGGCATTCGTAAGATCAAATTCTTCGAAATCGACTTCGTCCGCCTCGACACCGTGGTCGTGGTCTTCGGCTGCAACGTCCGCATGCTCGTGTCGAATGAGAACGACAAGCTGGAGGCCTTCGCGTATGGTCGGCGGGGCGAGCGGGGATCTGCATACGAGATGGTCAAGTCGCTGGAGCCCTATGGCGAACTGATAGAGTATGTGGCGGTTGGCAACGAGCCGCTGCTGCCATATCACGCAGAGCTCAACGGGCCCTTCCTCGCGCCAGCGTTCAGGAATGTGGCTGAGGCTCTGCGTGACACAGGGGAGAGGTCTGCCAGGAGAGGGCGGGGGCGCTACCGGCTGCCGGCCAAGCCGACGGTGCCATTTAGTGCGTCGATACTGGACAACACGATCTGGGACACCTACTACAACACGACCCTCAGGCCCATCCTGGACATCATCCAGAGGGAGGAGTCAAAGTGGTGCTTCAACATCTACCCATGGTGAGCTGAGAGCTGAGTGAGGGAGGGAGGGCAGGGCACAACAGAGCGGCCGTGTCAATGATGTCATGTGCTCATCTCATTTCGCCTGTCCTCTCGCTCGCTCACTCAGGTTTGCTGACCGCAAGTACTACCCGCTCAGCTATGCCGTATACGGCCAACCAGAAGATGCCCGCACCTACGCGTGGGGCAACGGGGCCGTCAACTGCACGGCCTACTTCCGCACCGACCCTGCCACCGGCCTGCCCGAGTGCCTCTACTTCCATCACTTCGATGAGCTATTCGACCTGCAAGTCTATCTGCACCGCCTCGGCAACTGGTCGGTGGATCTCATTATCGGCGAAACCGGCTGGCCCACGGGCGCCGCCAAGGACGCCACCCTCCCTGTGGCGCAGGCGTACCTCGAGCAGATGGTGAGGCGGTCTGATGCATCGGTGGCCCGCGGCACTCCCCTGCGTCCAAACGTCAAGACGAGCATGTATCTGTTCGAGGCGTTTGATGAGGACATCAAGTACGAGATGAACGGGGGGTCGTATTCGGAGGACCACTTCGGCCTCTTCACCAAGTACGGGGCCTTCAAGTTCCCCTCGCTCAACCTGCCCTCACCTGACCTCACGAGCCCCGAAGACGCAGAAGTGCCCCTGCGCCGATTTGACGACATCACCGATCATTCTGAGGTAGACTGGCGGTGTCCGTGCTCAGTCGACTGCCAGGCCACGGTGCCGCCATTCGGCCGTGTCACGGTGGGCAGGGAGAGCAAGACCAACGGCACCGTCTTTCTCACCGGCTGGGGGGAGCGGGTGGAGTTTTCGTGTGTTGCTGGGTATATCCTTGAAGGCCCCTCCCAGGCCGTCTGCTGGGCGTTTGGCAAGTTCAAGGCCATCGAGGGTGCCAAGGGGAGGATGCTGGGGGGGCGTGTGCTGGACAGAGACGAGTACGTGTGTTGGGGGGACGGGTGGGCGGAGGGGGTGGGGCTGTTTGAGTGTCTCACTGAGGGGCAGGTGGCGCAGAGGGAGGAGGAAGAGCTGTACAGGATGTGTGAAGAGCGGCCAAGCGCCTGCGTGTACTGACTCACTGACTGACTGACTGACTGACTAATTCATTCACTCACTCTCTCTCACAGTGGCTGGCTGGCTGCATTTGATGTCGCGTCGAGTCGCGTGGAGTGGCGTGGGAAGGAGTGCACACCGCGTGTGTGGATAGGGTATCGATCTGATGTGATTGATGTGATTGATAGTGTGTCGGTGTGTCGATCGACGTGTGATGTGGACTCTCATTCATCGCAACCGCTCAATCACGTATTTGTCCGCTCTCTGTCAATCAGTCAACCTACGGCAACCATAGCTACAACTCGCTGCTCTTGTCACGCTCACTCATTCGCAGCATGACATGACATGACATGGCACTCGCTAGAGGCTAGCGCTGGGCGTGAAGATCAAGTTGCCAAATGAGACCAGGCATCCAGTCCAGGCATCCAGTCCATGCAGCTTATAAATCGCATCCATCGGTCAGTCTAGCTCACCCACACCCCCACACTGAAGAGAGCAATCGTGGCAGAGAGCAGCCCAAGCGGCGCGCGTCTCACGCTGTCGCTGTACAGGTCAGTGTCGTCAACGCCTGTGCCGAAGCTGCAAAGACGATTGTTCTTCCAAGCCCCCACACCATCTGCACACATGGACAGAGACATCCATCCTTGAGCACATCGTAGTCTCCGCAGACCGACCGTCGGCAACAAACATGAATTCCTCGTTGCTGATCTCGCCATCCTCGCTCCTGTCCATGATCGCCAGCAGTCGTGCCTGCAGGCATCCATCCCATCAATCAGACGACACACGGACACACACGATAGAAGCAATGGCTGGGCAGGACACCACTCGAGGCTCTCTCCACGAGTGAGTGTTGTGTCAGTCAGAGTGCGGTGCCCACCCGATCTCCCTGTGAGATGTCGAGAGCGTTTGTGAAGCGCTCCCAGTCTCTGGCGATGATGGGCTGGTCCGCGGGGTTGTCAGGTGCGGTGATGTTCTGAGCAGCGTACTCGTCGTACCTATGAGAAAGACAGGCGAAAAACATGGCCATTGAGGCAGGCAGGGATGGATAAAGCTGATGCATGTCAGTCAGTCAGTCTTCATCGTCAGCCACATTTGGGCAGCGGCGATGTAGGCGCTCTGTCCATCCAAGACAGAACATGCAGGCGCGCAGTGTCTCTGTGGCGGAGAAGTAAGTGTGTCTCTGCTAAGGTACCTGAGCCGAGCCGCAGTACTCTTTCAGCTCAGCTGTGTAGTTCTTCACAAGATCTGATACGCCGGACAGACAGACAGACAGACAGACAACAAAGGTAGAGAGAGAGTGAGAGACGGTGCAAGAGATGCTTCACGCGGCCTTGGTGCATGCAGGTAGACTTACACCAGATGTACTCGGCTTCCTCTTCGCACTCCTTTTCCGATCTGCTGCCTCGTTTCGGCACCTGGGTGGTGTAACCCCCGCCCATATTTGGCGTGTCCTTGCCCTGCAGGCAGGGAGAGGACACGCAGAGTCCATGAGACAGACAAGAACATCTATGCGGCTGCGGTAGTGCGCCTCGGTACCTTACCATCTTGTCCCTGGCTTTGTATCTGCAGGTGTATGTTCTTTCGGCTGTGCCGCACCCCAGCTGCCGCACACCCTTCCACACCATCGCTGCCACGGCGAGAGAGACAGACGACAGAAAATCGACATCTCCTGGTGATGTGTCTCAATCAACGTCGGGATAAGCGACCTCACCTACCAGTGAAGTGGCTAGAACAAAAGGAGGGACAAAGAAAGACACAAACAATATAGAACGTGCAGTGCACACGTGACCATTTCCTGGCAGAGAGCATCCGAGTGGATCGCCCACCCACCCACCCACCCACCCGGTGCCAGAGCTGAAGCTGTCCTGCGACGTCTCGATCCACAGGTCGTACTCGTTGTACCTATATGTCCATAAATCCTCACGCAAAGTGCACACTTGCATGCCGCCTAGCAGCAATCGTCACGGCGACCTAATACCAGGCAGATGTGGCGTGCTCCTGATCGCGGTGGCCCCATGCCAGGTTCTCCCCTACACGGAAATGAGACAGGCGCAGCAGGCAAGGGGAAGATTGAGACAGTGCAGGCGTGTCTGCCTGCCCGATGGACACACACACTGCTGTGTCGTCTACCCACCTGCCGGCCCCTGAGGTGGTCCAAGATTGTATGACTTAGAATGTCCGGACTCTTCTCCCGACTTCAGCTTGTTGGACCATTCTTGTGCTGCACGCAGGCGCGAGAGGGACGAAGGCGGAAGGACAAGCCAAACGATCCGCAGATTGAAACACCATGCAGAGAAAAGTGTTCACCTGAGTCGGCCACCCACTGGTTCCACGTCAGATAAGGCCCGCCGTGCAGACAGCGATATTTGTTGTGGGCGACGGTCCAGGTCTTGTCATCGCCCTCGGCTGTCAATCCCGCAGCCACAGGAGACGACGCCGCAGACACCACACAGCTCACCAAACACACGGCCCACACAGCCAAGCCGGAGGAAGGGACCATCGATGCTGGGAGGCAGGCGGTCACGCTGATTGTGTGCAGCTAGTGCCGACTGCGCCAAGTACACCAAGGAATTCGCCGAGAAGTTCGCCGCCTACACCACGAAGCTAGTAGAGGGAGAGGGGGCGAAGGGAAGGCACTGCCCCCAACGGCTGGCTCAGGCCCCGGACGGATCGACCTTTTCCGGATGAGAGGAAAGTCGTGCTTATTGTGTCTATTTGGTTGTTTGTTGGGTCTGTGTTTGGCCCAGGATCTGTTCATCGACGAGAATAACAAAGAGGAGAGCCCATCGCCGACAAACAAAGGTGAGCATCGCCCCCGACACGCCATCTGTGGGTGGAGGGATGCACCACACACATAGGGACACACACCGATGGATCTGTTGTGTGTGTCGGCCGTGTGTCATCCCGCAGATGTGTCCGGTTACTGCTTTGTCTTCCGTCGGCTGCCCTGCCCAGCTTCCCAGCGGCCCGTGTGTGCGGCCGACGGCCTGCGCGCATTCACTGTGGCCAACCGGTGCCAATTCGAGAAAATGCGCTGCGATAACACAAAGCTCAGACTCATCGGGGAGGATACATGCGAAGAAGGCATCAAAAAGGAGTCGGTTGCCGACATGAAGGCCACAATACGGCTGCTGGGCCGTGTTGAGTGCACGTGCAACCCCGCGGCCTACCCGCCGCTGCCCATCTGAAGCAGTATGGGGCTGAGCTACCAAAACCTGTGCGCCTTCCGCCGCGCACAAGTGAGCACAGACCACCATTGTGTGACGCGACGTGTCTCCCCCCATCCTCCCGCCGCTTCTCTCTCTGTGTGTGTGTGCACAGTGTCGGTACCCGACTCTGACAATCAGGAGGCGGGGCTTACCCTGCTACAGCCGGCCGCTGGAGAGCAAGCTCCCAGCCCGCGTCCCAGCCCAGGCAACGAAGAAGGCGTCGGGCTTCCCCCGGGGCTTTTGGCGTCGCAGCTTGCAGGGGTCGGGGTGGGGTGTCTCCCGGAGGACCACAAGCCCGAGACAATATGCAGCAGCGTCGGCCTGACTTTCAAGAGCATGTGTGAGTTCAAGTGCGCCAGGAAGAGGTATCCAAGGCTGAGGGTGCGGAGGAGGGGCCATCGGTGTCCACGGAAGAATTTCCGACGCTAGACAGACCACACACAGGCCGTTGACTGATGGTGAGCAAAGCAAATGAACTGAATCACCTTGCTTGCATTCTTCTCGTAGATGTTCACTCAGTATGTTTGTGTGGTTCTGCTGGTGGATCAGAGAACCGAGGGGCCTGTGTCTATCGGGTATTTCTGTCCTCGCCTGCAGATGCGGTTGCCCTGTCTCTGCTGTTCGCATGGTGTTGGTGCATGTGTTGTGCCGTGCCACGAGGGGCGACCGGCGATCGTCGATTTTTGCGCCCATTGTAGAGAGAGAGCCTCACTGGCTGGGGCTGGGCAAATCGGTCTGTCTGTCTCCTGTCGTGTGTGTGTGTGTGTGTCTGCGTGTCCATTCATGGGAGAGATTGACAGGAGGAATGGCGCGAAGTGGATGACTGACACGGCACCGACTCATTCATTCATGTATTAAATTCATGATCACAGACATCGACACATACAGACAGAGTATGCACACGAAAAAGAGTCAGTCCCTCAGCTCGCCAGCCACACCTACACAAGCATGCTATGCTACACAGACAAATCGGCTCGAATCGACGGACAAACAACACCCCGCAAACAACTGAA